AAGACATCATCAAACATGTTTTTGAGTAGTGCTAAGAATGTTGGTGGGGAATGGATATGTGGCGACCTTCACGCGGTCATTCCTGTAAGTACTTGGGTCTTGAAACTCGACGAAACCAACAGCCACATGCTAGTTTAGCTTTATTCACAATAAAAAAGAGATTGTTTTTATAATAACTTGTCTACTTTTTCTATGTGATATAAGTTGCTTGCTGGTTGTTGTGGTGCGAACGATCAAGGGCTCGATTGAGTGCTAATGTACGTTGGCTGATGGGTAGAAAGCTTTTGAAATGGGGTGTCGCGTTGCTGCGTCTCGAAGTTGGATCGTGATAAGAGGTGTAAGCTAAAGGAGATAATAGCGTCTCAAGATCTAGACGTTTGATTGGAACAATAAAGAGAGTACAATGTTGAAACATACGTGCTGTGTTGCCATGGAGCTCTAGTCGTGTTCGAATTGCGCGTGTTGCTGTCGTTGCCTTGGCATCAAGAGCGTTACCATTGACCTTGGAAACAGCTTTGTGATTGTAGTTTGTTCGACTCACTTGTCTTTGTATCGTTATCGTTATAGCTTGTGAGTTGCAATATGGATTAGTTTTACCTTGTAGTGTTGTACCTTTTCTGTTGCTGTAGATGCCCACCCGTTGCATTGGTTACCTGCATGCGTGCCGCATCCCACACGGCATAAACGTACTCTTACTACCCATTCATTGGTTCAATAAGCAACTCTAATCATCTGCTGTCGACCCAGCCGAGCAACGTTGTCTATTAAATACCCCGTCTTTATGTTTTACATATGCTGCCAGTGTGATACTATATGTAAAGTGGTCTTTGTTCATTGTCAATTAGATAGAGCCGAAGATGAAGAGGGGCGTGTTTGTGTAACACAGCCTATCATGCAGAAGTGGAAGGGCTAATGGATGATACTTTATACTATCGAACATCATGATGATCAACGAAGCTTACAATGAACCAAGCATTATGTGATAGGCATTATGTTGGATATCATCACTCTAAAACTTATTATGTATCTTTGAAATGTATAAGCGTTCGGGGGTTACACGGCCTTTCGGCTATCAGCATGTACACTTGCAAGTTTATGTAGTGAATGAACAATGTTGTGACAAAAGAACAAAGGCAACTTGGTACGATGATACAAATGATCAATCTAGCTTCCCCACATTTAAAACTCTATTTCTCCTTTCAATCCAAAAGCCAACGAGTGATCCTCATCATGCACATATGATCTGATAGTACCGTGAGGGATCCAATTCTCATTCAATGAAATACTCGAAGAATAGTATATAGCAATGCGGATGTTTATCAAGTAAATATCATGAACAGTATTGCAAATTGACTAAGACACAGGCGAATCACACAGAGGATAATTGTGTCATTGTATTCTTGGTTGCTGCCGCCATAATGATCCTTCATCCATGATCGCAAAGTTGCTGTTGTATGCCTTGACTTGAGAATTCCAATATCATTCATGGCTGCAAAACGCCTCTCGTCAAAGACATAAAACCTTTCGTCAATTCCAACCAATCCATCATCATCATCCTCAGCCGTATCCACGTAGCATGGTCCATTCTTGCTGTAGACTTGCAAAGTAACCAAAGCAACATTCCAATATTCCCCATCGTTGCACTTGAATGCATCCATCCATCCATAACCATTGCCAATCCAATATGTTGATTGAAAAGAGACATGCGATCGCTGCTAAAATGCTTGCTTCTCCATTGTTGGTCAAACACTTGCTTGCTCATCTTCCATCGTAGCTCAACCAGCTGAAGATTGCGTGTAATACGATGTATCGATAGTTGATATGGCATCATCCATAGGAACCCCTATGTATTAAAGCACGTTGTTACGCGTAAATAAAGCTGCTTCGATACAATGGCTATCTGCTGTCCACTTAGAAAAAGGCTGCAAATAGCTTGAGACAATGGAGTAAAGACCTCGTAAATGGCAAACGCTGTTACGTTTGATTGTGGTAGAGGATTGTACAAGAGAAGGTGAAGTGACAAGAAATGAGGGTGTTGTAGTGGGGTGCACACGCCATTCACTTGCCAACCAGTCAAGGCAATCGGATCAAGGCAATCGTAGGATCGACATGATGGGTTGAAGCAGGACAATCGTTCGGGGGTGCTAGTTGTGCTTGAATGGGCCAACGGTTGTGAATGAGAGGAAGAGGCAAGATGCTAGGAGTGGACGAGGTGGAGATTAAATTGGTCGGACACCTCTTGTATAAATGCATGAACACTGTACATCAAACTTTGATATTGAGATTGCCCCTCTCGCACCTCAAACTTTCACACAATGTGCTCTGCGACATGCTGATCAACGTTGTGTTAAAAAAGGTCCCATGTTCATTTGAAAATATTGAATGGGAGAGTGCAATGTGGGATTTACTATGGAGGTCGGAAAGCAGGACAGCGCCGGATTCATGATTTATCGAAATAGTATGTATTATCCTTGGATTCCCCATTCGAACTTGTAACTTTGTCAGAAGGTTCGCTGGAACATGCTGATTAACTTCATTCATTTAAAAACCACATGCTTCATTGTGAAGATTTAAAATGCGGGGGCGGTCCAAATGGTGATGACGCGAACAAAAGAGCGGACGGCCCGCCGCCCCGAAGTTGCCCACCTCCAACTTGAAAATTGGTCAGAAGGGTGCTCTCGAGCATGCTGATCAACTTTTTCTAATAAAAACTTCACGCTTCATTTGAAAATTTGGAATGGGAGCTTCCAAAAGTTCGAAAGACGGAGACATTCGCAGGGTCTGCGATTCATTAATTTTCATGTTTGCTGTTCCAGCGTAGCTCAGTCAAATCGGCTCGGATCAAGAAACTTGAATGATGGAAATGCTCGGCTGGAACAGGAGAATCGTTCACATGCAGTGGATTAGGAAACAATGGCAAATGGGAGGAATGGGCTGCTAGCTGGTAGTTTATGAACGAGTAAAAATCAAAATTGGTTGAGTTTACTTTCATTGCTCTCAACATTATTCCAGGGCAGAGTATCTTTACAGATGTAGTACATATCCTTTTGCAAAGATGGATGGCAAACAGTGGTGGGTTCCTGTAAAGTATGAGATTGTACATAGTGTGATTTCGTAAACGTGTAAGAAGCTTATGATTACAAGATCATTGTGCTTACATAGGTAATGTTAAGCCATTCAACGAGGGGTCTAAAGTTCAATTCATGAGCCAAGTGATCAAGCCAAGACGCTAGTCTAGCACATTAATGATCCATTGGCTTTTGAAAGTGTCCAACAAAGAAAAAGATATGGATGAAATGATTGATCATGCTGAAAGGCACGGTCAGAGCCAATGAGATTGGTTTCGGTGGTTCGTGTCTCAATGCTTTGCATTACACGTCTTTCCCAATTCGCTTGAAGACATGTGACTCATCATTGAATCCTTCACTTTCCAAGGTATTGTATATAACAAGAAGTGTAGCTATATGCAAAGTGTCATCATTGTTTATTGTGCAACAAGCTGATCTCCGGATTTAGTGACATCAAAACATCCTTTCTGTGAAAACAACTACTTTTTCTTCTACGATGGATAACAGCTCTGAAAAATGTCGATATTGCTCATCGCAGCCAGCAAGTTCAAGTAGCAATGTGTGGATCCGCTGCGATGCCTGCCATGAATGGTACCACGCCCAGTGTGTTGGCCTAGATTCCAAAGAGTGCGACCGAATCGAGCAGTATCATTGCCCTCAATGTATAAGACGCCATGGACCATCGACGTGTAAGAGAACTTTGTTGTAGCCATTCGCTGCCGTCCTATTCACGATCGCATATAATAGACAAGCCCAGCGTGCGCAAGTCCCAACGAGAACGCGCTCGATTGAACTATGCCGATCTCAACAATGGCAAAACAGCAGACCAGGCGATATGGAAGAGGATATTGAATGCACAGACGTTCGCCAAAGACCCATTCAAACGATACCAAGGATCCCAAGTTACGTTGGAGTTATTACGAGAGACGGGCATGCGAGAGCCGTTTATCATTGAATCACCGGAGGGCCTTGATATGAAAATGCCTTCACAATCAATAACCGTTAATGACATTGCTGATGCCATTGGTAAGTAGTAAAGACGTGTTTTCTCTCCTCTCACTACTTATTCATCATCTCTTTCTTTACAGGACATGATCATCCGGTGGAGGTTATGGGTAAGCAATCCATTGTACCTGCCAATGACCCCTTATTTATTGGTTCACAGATGTCGCCACACAATCCGAGGTGCCTAACTGGACAATGGGACAATGGGCAAGCTACTACAATGATCAAGAGAAGGATCGGACCCGCAATGTTATCAGCCTTGAGATTAGCGATACCAAACTTGCCGAAAGCATTGTACGACCAAGAATTGTCAGGTAACAGTGACATTGCAACGGCTGGCATCGATGATAGCAAACGCCTAATGTGGACACCAGGGAATTAGATTGGATTGATCAAGTTTGGCCGAGTAGCCTCAAACCACATGAATACCCCAAAGTGCAACTTTATTGTCTCATGGGCATCAAGGATTCCTATACAGATTTGTAAGTAACAACCCTTTTTACTTCCTAGCGGCGCTGAAAGCGTACTGATCCATTGTTTTCTATTATAGTCATGTTGATTTTGGTGGAAGCTCTGTAAGTGACATTTGGTTGTTCTCCCATTCTACCCTCCCTCGCGCTAATCACTCGTATCATGTAGGTATTCTACCATGTCGTTAAGGGATCCAAAGTGTTTTACTTTATTGAACCGACGACAACCAACCTTCGAAAGTACCAGAAATGGAGCTCTTCTCCTGATCAAAGCATGACGTTCTTTGCGGATGAAGTCAAGAAGTGTTACGCCGTGCATATCAAACAAGGAAATACAATGTAAGGAACACCACACACATTGAACAAGAACGTTGAGAGACTGATCGGATGATGTACATTGATAGGATTATCCCCACAGGATGGATTCATGCTGTTTACACACCCGAAGATTCTCTTGTCATTGGTGGGAATTTCCTTCATGCAATGAACATTGGTGCACAGCTCCGAGTTTCTGATGTTGAAGATGCAACAAAGGTCCCAGCAAAGTTTCGATTCCCCTACTACAAGCGAATGAATTGGTATGCTGCACGCTATTATCATGATTTATTACAAGGTACGTTCACGAAGGATATGCATATTTATTGCACCCATTGAGACTTTTCTTTTCAGTAGATCAGGGAACAAAAAGCGTGTTATCGAAGTTCGAGCTAGAGGGCCTTATCTCCTTGGCACAATGGTTAAAGAAGGACATACAAAGTGGAGCGCGAAAAGACATTCCCCATGACATCCATGATCCATCCACATTACTGTCACAGCTCATCAACATGGTTGAAAATGAAATGGAGAAGCAACAGATACCAAAGCGAAAAAGACGCGACTCAACGGACTCCCTTGGAAATGTGACCGATGATCAAGTTAAACAAGAAGGTGATGATGATGGCTTGGTACGTGAAAAGGTGGAGACGGGATCATCGGCGAAACGGCGGAAATCGATAGGCAAAGACCAAGTTGAAACATCTTAAAAGAGTGTAGTGATACGTACTTGTAAATTTAGGATCAATAAAGCCTCAATAGCTAATGTTATTCGCTTGAAGCTACATAACTATGTCTCAATGATTCCCAATTGTGAAACACATTGCGTCTTCCTAATAAGGAATGCCTAAACGATATAAAGTGACAACCGATCCATATGCAATCTTATGGACAATCGACATGAATGAGTGAGTTATTGTAACAAATTCTTTAATGCAAGCAATGGAGGATCGTTGTACTTTTACTTGATGAGGTAGTTGTATCCCTGAAAAGAAAAAAGTGGTGCTAAACAGAGTTCTATGTATTATGCACAGCAACAAGTTTGAACTCCGTGATCACTTTACTCGACCCCAGCACAGCAAGGACTACCCTCAGCTTCCTTTACTTCTCCAACATTGCCAATGGACGGCCATTCGATCGCGACCAACACACTCTTGATGCCCAACATACCGGCTCTGTTCTTTGAGTACCCGGCATCACTGGATTTCCTTCGTTCGACTTTTGAGCAACATGGCAGTCTTCATGCGTTTATTGCAATGAAGGGGTTTCGCAGACTTATGATAATATACGACGAGACGTTATGCGCCGTGAACGCGTTGGAATCCCTTGATAAAAAGACCTTGCTATGGAATCCTCCTTCTACCACATCAAACACCATTCAACTCTATATCAAAGATGCTGATGAACACGTGGATATTCCTGGCATCGATGGCATGCAAATACGACTTTATTATGGACAAGTAAGTTTGGATCGTCTATGTGCACGTTGTTGTTGTTGTTGTTACTCATGGGAATCGAATAGCACAATCCAATCAATGTTGATCCTGCATTATCACAATTACAAGTACCAGAAAACAAAAAGAACTTTCTCATTTCACCACCTGGTTCACCATGCGAAAACTGGCAACAAACCGAGGAATCGCCACCCAATACAGCTGTGCTAGCTTCTGATCTTACACATGCCATTGCAGAGTTATCAGACGATGATTTGGATGATTTGGATGACTTTCAACTTGATCAACATTCAGCATCATCGCATGATACACGCCCATCCTCCACACTCAAGATCATCACGGCATCCAACAATGGCCATGAAAATGAAAATGTACCCATGATTACTGTTCAAGATTGCGATGATGATCAGCCATCTCCTCCACCATCAGAGAAGAAACCACGTGCTGATTTTCCCAAGGCTCGTGTGGTTCCTACACCTCGTCCCCCTATATTGAGCATTCAATAGCTAGCATCTTCTTACATATTGGCCAAGCTAGATGTCATCATTAGTCGATAGATTACATTAAAGCATGTCCTTTTCAAATCAATCACGATAAAAATGGAGCTCTAGATGTTGACAGTGTATAAATAGGATGGGTGGCATGACGAATGTAATTGCTAACAGCAATCATGATGACCCACCTCATTCTTTAAATCGAATCAAGTCTTTGCCCAATTCATATGTATATATAGCTCCAATCTCTCGAATAGATAAAACTAGGTTTGCTAGTTGTGTTGGGTAGTACTTTATTAAAAAGCAGGTTTGGATCGTTAACCATCTCGACTACAAGTTTGGCGCCTTGCACGTGTATCTTTACGGACCAGTCGAAGCAACCTCGCTAGTAGTGCCTTCACTGCCACCGAAAACTAGCTCATCACCACCACCAGTAGCTGCATTGGTGGCTACTCGAGGATCATCTTCTCTATTATATGCACGAGAAGACGTTGCTTGGTCCTCAGCTAGTTTGTACAATGCGTCGTGTGGTGACCCTTCAAGCAAAGCAGCCAAAGAATTCTGTCCCCGAAGCCCTACATCCTCGCCTATGCTCTTCGCCATTTCTCGTAATTCCTCTTCCGTTGGCTCTCGTGATCTTACATGCTCAGCTCCTTCAAACAATGTCTCCGGGTCGCTTGCAGTAATCATATTAGCTTCCGTATCCGTAAGAGGCAAAGCATTCGACGTTTGCATGTGGATAGCCATAACCAAAACGGTCATGAACGATGCGGTAAAGTAATGCATGATGGGTTTGAAAAAGATGAAGGATAATATGCAGCCTTAGAGAAAAAAGTGGGGTCTTTTATATATGTAGCTTGTAGACATGATGTCGTCGGTCCATGATGACGATTTTAGTTAAAGCTTATGCATGGTATCTTTTTCCAGCCGCTTCGCTAGTACAGTAGAGAGGGATCATGCAGCTTCCTTTTGCTCTCAACTTTCACAAGATGGCGTAAGAAGCCATACTACGCATCTCTGTTCATTGGGTACGATGAGATACCCCCTTTTTTTTATTGCATGTATGTTTTTGTATAATGTTGTATGCATGTATTGATCAGGATTGGCACCCTTGATATAAAAGGCGGGTGGTTGCGGGTGGTTGTGGTTGTGGTTGCCTGGATACATATCACATTCATTTTTTCGTCATTCGCTGTAGAGATATCGATTATCCAACACACCTACTTTTCATAGCACTAATGTGTTGAAGGATCGGAGCTGTCAAGCTTTATGCATAAATGTCATATAGCTCCTGAAGTAAGGGATGCATAAATGGGGGCAACTATGGTACAAACGCCATTGCGTGGTGGTTGTAGTGAATGCATTATCCTTTTATGCTATGTATCCTGTTTACTATTCTACTCCCTCATACGTTGATATGAGCCGATATCGGAAAGTTACATGCCTTGACGATACGATGGGCATGTGTGCATGAATACCGTATCCCTAATAGAATGGTCATCCGAAAGCATCGATGATGAGGAATGACATGGTGACGGAATCTCAAATGCATCATCATTCAAAAGAGCACCATGCTTATCATTCATTCGTTGGATGTTGCCATTGTGGTGTGATGTAAAGTGTCACAATAAAGCACGATTAACTATAGCATCGCCCGCCTCAATATCTAAAAGTTAACATGGTGCCAAATTTATTACTTCATGATGGTGTTTCTAAAGCCTATAATACGAAACAGGAGTAAAGGACGTGTTGACTACGCTTTTGTCTATCTCTCAAGAAACGCATTACTTACTACTCGAAGTCACTTGACGTAGTGATTGTGTCTGATTCTATGCGTGCAAATCAAAGCCGACGGTGCTACACCAAAGAGGGAGCGCGTTGGGAAGCAAATCCGGTAATCGATACGTATGCGACTTCCATATTTGGAGGGGTCATTGTAGTACACTCCGCTCAGACCCGTTCACTTTTCGCTGGTCTTGCAGTTACAGCTTCTTTTTTCCTTGTTTCTTTTTGTTTCAATTCACTTGTACTCGTAATGAACTTCGGCATTCTCAACTTTAAGGAAGTGAACAACAACACAACGGACGAGTCCAACAATCCACCACCCTCTCAATACCTCTTTCTCTCGCCATCGCTTCAACATTATGCCTCTGGTTTCCCAAGTAGCAGCTCCATTACCAGCAGCAGCAGTAGCAGCAACAGCAGCAACAGTAGTCAAACGGCCCATACACCTGAATTCCTAGCAGAAGATATACCACCACCATTTGATACGAGACCAGAAGAACCAGCCCCTCCTCCTCCTCGTCGCACGATTCGCAAACACAAAGAGCCTATCTTTGTCACTGAAGTTCCTCAAAATGCATACAAGAAAAAGAGAAACAGGGGCTTATCATCATCCGAAGAAGATGAAGCAGCAGCAGGAGGAGCAGATGCAACAAACAAATCCAAGATGACAGCCAAAGAGCGTCGACAATTAAGAAACAAAATCTCGGCCAGGAACTTTCGTGTGCGTCGCAAAGGTAATTACATACATTTCCTTCTATACATGCAACAAAAACCTTATTTCGTTCATGATTGTATAGAATACATTGAGCAACTCGAGTATCAGATCTCAAAGCAAGATAAAGAATTGGCACTTTTACGAGAAAGCAATGCTCGATTGGAGAAGGTCAATCAAGAATTATTACTTGAAGTGGAACGATGGCGAAGTTTATCCGATTCTCAACAGCAACAGCAACAGCAACAGCAGCAACCAGCAGCCCTTCTCGGTGGTGACAACACATCTGGTGGAGAAGCATTACCCGATTTATTCAACTTTTTCGAGTTGAACGACCTGGATTTATTTGATTTCAATGTCAATGTATCGAATGCAGTCATTCCTCATTTCGACTTTGCACGTGTATTGAATGAGAAACCTGATCCAAGGATATCGTCAGCAGAGTTGATGAGAAGCTTCCCATTACTGGCACCCACCTTGATGTCCATGATCATTGGTCAAACGATGGCTTTGGTCAGTGAGCAAGAGATCATGTCAACAGCTGTCATGGCACAGCCTACTACCAAGATCACATTTCCAGAACCACCACAAATGCTCGTAGCTTCGGAACGACATCAACGACAAGATGCAGTCCCACTTGAAAAAGAGCACATGGTGGATGAGGCTATTGAGCGTTGGCTATTGAGGAAACACTATTTGTATTATGCATTCATGCGGATGCGTGGTTATTCTCATGCTCAGCTCATTCAACGCGCGCGACAATACTTGGAATCCAGTGCCTATCGAGAACGCCGCATGGAACGCCTTCAAAGAGTTGTCAACACCATTTCGGCCTTTTGCTCCATCACCAGCACCCTCTTACAACATCCAGAGCGGGCCCCCTTAGTACCATCCATGATTCGAAACGACAAACGACTCGACTGGCATTCTAGCTTTTCACCTAAAGGTAGTTTGGAGTATAAGGAACACCCTTTGTATTTGATGGCACACGATTAAAAATAGTGCTGTTGATGTATTGCCACCTTGTCTATCATCCCTTACCCCGCGCCTTATGCATGAGCAATCAATCACACCATGAACACGCCTCACCTCTCATCATTTATCATTCTTTTCTCCTTTACGCCCACCATGAGAATACATCTCTTTGTAATCACATAAATACCCACGCCCACCATGCAGACATAATAAACACGGATGTTGTCGCCCGCCCATTTCTTTTTTTTTTTTCATCATTCAATCACTCATTGATTACTGTCACTTTTATGTAAACCCAAGTTGATGCGAGTATGTATGCCATGGTGGATGTTCTTTATTGTAAATGAACCATGGATTAATGTTTGTGATGATCTTTAGCGTTTCATCGTTACCCTACTTTTGTTGTCATTGTGATATTTGGCTCTTTTAATATGGTAAACTCCAATCATCTTGCTTAATAAAGCACATGCTCACAATCCTTTTAATGTAGCTACACCTCCTGAGGAGAAGCTGGGCTCGGTGGCACGTTATGTATCTCGCGTTAGCAAGCAATTTTGGTGGCGGCTTTACTTTCCAAGACATTAAGGAAGTGTTCAGCAGCTGGCAGCATCTATGACTTCAATTTCCAAAGGGTGTACGGCATTCCAGCTGGACACCACCATTAACCTCGTCGTCGAACTTTGACACGACAACAGCAGTGATGTTGGATAGCGACAAGATACAACATCCTACATTTCGCCAAGTTCAAGGGGATCATGAACAACGCTTACCAACGAGCATCTCCCGGAAGGTTCTCTTGACCTTGAAGAAACACTCACGAGTGACCATCACCCTGAAGGTTCCTTTGGCCTGCAAGAAACGCTTACATGTGGACATCTCCAGAACTCAAAGGAGCTGGGCAGCTCATTTACACGATTATCAGAAAGATCTGTGGCGTCCTTGCCCATCCAAGCGCCTCCTCCATTCGCCTTCCAGTGATCCTATTTTGGACTTGAGTGAGGCAAACGTTCGGTTTGGTTCCACGCAAAATGATCAACGCATTTGGTTCTATACAAGTGGATACGGCAACGTGTGGTGTATTCCTCGTTTGCTGGCTGGCAGGGAGTCCAACTTCTTGAACAAAGATGATCCTATGTACATTATGGTTATCGTTAAAGAAAACCAAGCAAGACATGTCGCTGATGATACATGTACGCAAGTGAAGTCACCTGCACTGGTATATCGGAGAAGCCACGGTACAATGTGGCATGCCATCCTCCAGAAACAATAACTCTGATATGGACTTGTTCTATACGACGCTATTTTTCAGTGCCAGAGCCACAACGACGATTGAAGTTAGCTATTTTCCTATTGGAATTCATCGACGCAGACGGAACGCTGGGGTATGTATACCATTGTATATGAAAAAACGTACCCGGCTACAGCTTACATGCCTTATTGCTTTTTCAAAGAGATTCCGCCATCCTACGATTTTTCTCCGGGACATTAAGGGAATATCATTGTCTTGTTCGCAGCCCAACAGAATCGATTGAATAACGCACTACGACGCAACCATTATATGGTACCCAAAAACTCACACGGCATCGTATTCCATAATACCGTCCCTAATGGATACTGCACCTACCAAAGGGTCACCATGCCTACTTTTTTACATGCTTGTTGGTACGCGTGGTTCTTTTTTGAGGAACATGCAGAGCTTCTACTCCAGGAGAAATGCAACGAATATCATGATCAATGCAGCCCTAAGAAGGCCAATGAAGACCAAGTTACAAGGAATACCAAACAACGTCCTTCCTTACATGTTTTTGGACCCCTCGTGGAGCTTGAGCAAGTGATCATGATCATCAAAACGACAAACGACTCAACTGGCATTCTAGCTTTTCACTCAAGAGTAGTTTTAGAGAATAAGGAACATTGTATTTGATGGCGCATGATTAAACATGTACACTTTTATTATCTTTTGGCAGCAGGTTGTTCAACATTGTCATCTTCTCTAGCTCTTTTGTGTGGGGCAAGCGCATCCAGTTCATCTTGAAGCTTGGCAATTTTCTTGTTGGACATGGATTGCATCACCTTGGATCGACCTTGTTCAAGCTCCAGTTGCTTTTGTACATTCTCCACTTGGGTTTTTGCTTCATCCATCTGCTTTTTAATCTCTTGCATTTCATTCTGTGCCTTTTCCAATTCCTCCGATGCCTTCTTCTGTAATCATTTGTGAGTACATGATATGCTCTCTATATACGTACACACGCTCTTTTTACCTTTTCAGCGATCTCTTTCTTGGCACGCTCCATAAGTGATTTATGCTTTGCCTAAAAGGACGATAAGTAAAATGTGTGGATCGAACGTAGTCGCTCAACCTACCCGTAAATCAGTCAAGTCCTTGTTCAACTTGGTATTCGAACGTTGCAATTGCTCGCTTTCTTGGGTCAACTTTTTCAACTTTTCTTCCATGGCTTGCTTTTCAGGTGCATCCGAGCTCTAGAATGGTGGTGAGCCATGGTGGTTTCCTCTTCCCTCATTGCTATCATCATTACCTTGTCTCCTTCCAATTTCTTAAGATCGGCTTGTGCACTTTCCCAACGTCTCTTAAATCCAGCAGCTGCACGTTGGTACTTGATGGCCTATTCATACGTGCGCAATCAGTACATGACCCCACGTGATCCTTTCTTTACTTACCGTTTCATCCGCATTTTTCACCTTTGCTTCTAATTCCGCTATCTTGTTGGCTGAAATCGTCTTCTCTTGCTCCATGTTCAAAATTTGGCTTTGTAACTTGGCTTGTTCATCTTTGAGCATTTGAACTTCGGTGGGATCCGCTTTCTATAATTGAAAGGTTGAGTACTTTCATTCATGCATCCCACTCATTCACTCACGTATCCATTACATACATTATACTTGTTAAGGATCTGCGAAGTGCGGATGTTCCATTCTTGTTTGGCTTTGGCAAGAAGATCCGTGGTGGCAATGGATTCATTGATTTGCTTCTCAAGCGATTGGATACGGTCTGTACATGAAAACGTCAATCATGCGTGTAACCTTGCTTTGTCATGTTTGTGTTACCTGATGCCTTCGCCAATTCCTCTTTTGCTGTGACAAGTTGCTTCTCAAGGTCATGCTTGGCACTCTCTGCTTCCGAAAGCTTCTTTTCAAGAGATGCAGGAATGACATACTGGCTCGTAGTAGCAGTAGTAGCATCCAATGTGCTTGTTGCATTCGCCATGGTAGCAGCATACTTTTCCTCAAGTTCCAAATTGGTCTTTTGTAATTGATGCACTTGAGCCTCGGTCAATTCCAACTTAGCCACCACGACTTGAAGTTGTTTTTGATGCTCCTCACTGGTAACTAAGGCTTGCTTGTATTGGGCATACAATCGATCGTTTTCTTGCACAATGCCATCCATGCTGGAACGAAGCTCCGTCACCGCCTTGTTGGACAAATCCGATAACGCCGAGCCGCCATGGTGACCGGTCTCCTTGGTGATCGTGGCAAGTAATTGATCATGAAGTTGGGTGATCTTGAGTAATTGGTGTCGGCTCGTATCAAGTCTAAAGGAGGCACGTGTAAGAATAAAAAAGAGAATCCTTCTCCTCATCAATACTTACTCGGATCTCAAGGATACTTCCATCTTGGCCCATTCTTCCTTTTCGCTTGTCCATTGCAATTCCAGTTTTCTTAAGCGACCTTCGGTCTTGAAAATGATCACGCGGGCTTCAGAAAGTGAACCATTCAAGGTGCGTACTTGGACTTGCAAACTCTCGATAGTCTTGGTATCTTTGAGGTGTGCTGCTCGTTCACGTTCATAGTCAGATTGCAATGTTTGGTATTGACGTTCAGCAAGCTCCATCTTGTTACGCAACGAAGCGAGTTCCACCTCCAAGGTCTGCTTGTCACTCTGCAAAGATTCCACTTGTGTTTTCATTTCTTCAAGCTCCTTTGTCCAGCGTTGCTCGGCCTCAAATTGGGATTGCTTCAACATTTCATTCTCCTCAATCACGGCTTCTGATTCCTTCAACTTGCTCTCTCGTTGCTGAGCATCCATCTTTGCATCATGAAGCTTGCCCCGCAAATCATCCAATAACGCATCGTAGTCGGCTTTCATCTTCACAATGCGGTCATTGATATGAATGTAACGTTGCTCATAATCATGCGTTCGTTCTCGCAACACTTGGATATCATCTTCATTGCCAGCAGAGGAGGAGGAGGGTGGTCGTGTGGTAGGCTCCATGGTCTCTTGATCTGCCATCTTTGCTCTAAGTTGCATAAGCTCGGCTTGCGTTTCCTCATACTGCAATTTCAAGCGCTTGAGTTCATTGCGTAGATTCTCAATGGTCGATTTTTCTCGTTCCATATGTACATTCGTCATGGTGCGAAGTTCTTCCTCTGCCAATCGTAGCTCCTCCTTGAGTGAACTTATCTCCCGTCTTTGACGTTCCGTTTGGGTGCGAAGACTTTCCATGTGTTCAAGTTGAGTATCATGACTATCATCCTGTTGAAGCTGAAGCTCTCTGTAAAGGGACTGGAGCTGATTGTGATTTTCTTGCAGCACTGTATAATCATTCTCTCGCTTCTGATGGAGTTGTTGGACGTATGCAAGTTGTGTGTTGATGTTGGCAAGCTCAAGATTCTTTTGTGCTGACTCCTCTTTGGCAGACAAATACTCTGCATGAATCTCTTTTAATGTCTTTTGTTGATCATTCAATTGCTGCGTCAAGACATTCACTTGCTGCTTTTGTTGTACCAACTCCAATTGGGATGAATTGAGCGCTTCCTTCAATTGCCCACATGTCTTCATCAATCCCTTCTCCCGAACTTCCGCTTGCTGACGATCTGAGGTGGCGGTAATCACCGATTGTCGATTTTGCTTCAATTCCTCCTTAAGCGTGGCTATCTCTGCCTCCATTGCGTGATTCTGCTCTTCTCTCTCACGCTCATATTCCTCAAGCTTTTCCTTGTAGTCGTGCAAAAGAGCATCAGCGTCAATATGGTTGGCATGATGTGGATCTCGTAAATGATCTTGGATCATTTGCTTATACAAATGATTGTCCTTGATGGCCTTATCGAGACTAGTCATATCGCCATCATGTTAGTCTCCTTGTGGATTTGTGATATGTATATAACAACTTACCTGGATTGTAAATTATGAGCATGTCCTTCCAATTCTGTGATCTTGCTGCTCGCTTGCTGAGTGTCATGTTGATAGTTGATGGCAAGCTGTTGATGCTCATTTTTGATGCGATCCGATTCTGTTGAAAGACGCTCGAGTTCCTTTCGAAGGCGAGTGACATCCAAAAGCAACTCCTGGTTCTTTTTGAATAATTCATCAACGTCATGGAATACTGTGCGCTCATGGGAAACGCTGGGTGTGGTTGACGTATAATCGGTGATGCTGCTGCTGTCATCGAATCCAGGAGGAAGGTATTGATTACGGCTTTGTGCATCGCGCAATAGGTACTTGAGCTGATAGGTGGCATTGCGAAGTGATATGTCGAGCGTTTCTTTTTGTTGTGCCACTTCATTGAGTTGTGATTTGAGCCATTCAACCTATTCAAGAGAATATGAATCCTCTGTTGCCATGAATAATGAGAGACGTCGTTATTACCTCTTGTGCTAAATGAGCATCTGATTCACCCGTTTGTCGAAGTTGTTCTCGTAAGGCGCTCAATTCACCTCGCAGGCGTTCATTGTTCGAGCTGACGTCGTTGTAATCTTGGCTGATTTTATCATATGCCTCCACCCATCTCTGGTTGTCGCCTTGGAGACTCTTGGTCTCAAATGACAATTTGGTGTGCTCTTTGCGTAGCTGAATCAATTCATCAAGTAGCTGCTGTTGATCTTGAGGTGAAGAGGCATCATCGCCGCTGAGTGGTAACAATCGTTTGCGACATTGAATCAACTCTGCTTTGAGGGATTGGTTCTCTTCCAAGATCGCTTTCTCTGCCGTTTGCTGCTCCTTCAATGCATCACGTGCTTTCTCAAGGTCCTTCAATTCCATCTCACGTTGTTGCTCAAGAGATCTGATGGAAGATTGAAACGTGCTCTTTGTATCCTCCACGTGCTTTTTGAGTCGATCACGTTCGTCTTGGGTCGTCTCCAATTGTCTCATCATCATTTCATTTTGCATCTGCGATTCACCCAATTGGGAAGATAGGTTGGCATGGTTGACACGCAAATCATCACGCTCTTGTTCAATCGTCGTTTTCTCTTGTAATAAACGTTGGTATTGTTGTTGCTATGATCATGGATCAGCCATCGTTTCCTTGATGTTTTCCATGCGTCCTTCATTACCTGTGTATTGACGATATCCCAGTGTTCATTCTTATAACGGTGCATCTCGGCTCGTAGCTCCTCCAATTGATTGACGAGTTGCTGCTCACGATTCTTCAAGAGTTCATTGTATGACTAAATCCCAATCTAAGGTGAGTGCCATATCCACGAGACCAGATCAAGCACCACTCACTTGTTGCTTCAACGCTTCACGCTTCATATCTTGATTCTGTAAAGACAATTCGGCAATCTCCTTTTTGAACTTTGAGTGGTAGCCATAGAGCGACTTGTTTCGATCTAAAAAAAAATGAGCTTAATTAGCATAAAGAAGGACCTTTTCACACCATGGTTCCTTTGTTACCTCTATGAGCAAGGAGCTGTTCCCTTAACGATGCGACTCTTGCAAGCAGTGACCGATTATCTCCCTGTAACTCTTCGACTTGGAGACACGCCTCGTCGTGGAGCTTCTTGGTATCTTGAGACGCATTCTTGACAGCCCGTAATTCTGATTGAGCCAACTCGAGTTCATTTTCTACCGTCATTGGCGTAAGTCTTTTTCATTGTTGTCGTTTCAAGGGATGGTTGTCACGTACTCAATCTCTCTTCGTCATTGGTTTTCTTCGCGTGGGCTGTTTGAAGAGCTTCATAGTCAGCAAGGAGTACTTCATAAGTGAGCGCTAGCAATTGAAACAGAGCATGAGAATAAAGTATAAGGGTGCATCGAGAGACACGCGTTGCTGGTTACATTTTGAAGACTCTATTGCATCAGAGAGTGTTGACATTGGAGCAGACAAAGAGATCGCACGTTGTCCGCTGCTGGCGGGTGGTGGATTAAAGTCAGCGGGGCTCATTTGACTGGAGAGCAGTACAATGAATCCAGCAGATAGGCTCACATGACCTGCCTGATGAATGAGCATTAGAGAGGACACGTCTCTTTGTTGTAGAGGGTATTCATCATCACGATGCTGCAAAAGACTTTTATTCACCCACATGTGGTAGACGTCCAAGCATACTTATACACGAGTACTACCACAACATAGCGATCCCATCATCCATTTCACCCCTTCCAGCTTTGTCTCGCATCTTTCAAGATGTTCATATCACCTTTTTGTTTCTCTCATCAGCAAGACAGTGATTATTTTTATTCATTATCATTCATGTTTTGTTGTTCAAAGCTCGTGAATCCGTTTCTCAACGTCTTGGCACTTTTATAGCTTAGCAGAAGACCACTCTTATGTCATACAAAACATTCTTGCCAGTTGGATCCCTAGAAGTAGTATCTATATCAGAAGGAATTTGAGTATGTGCCTCATGAAGTAAGATGATTAGACTTTACCTTAATAAAGGAGTCAAAGAACACATTGACAACAATGGCGGCAATGAAACGCTTGGTTCATGAATCGCTTAACCCACTTCATATAAAGATTTTGAGGAGAAACAGGTACGTTTATTATGTTTTACTTATGCGTTATCATCAGGTCATCGGGGTCTCCAGGATACGAGAAAGTCTCTTCTATGTGAGTATCCATGGGAACAAGCTGAATAAACATGTTGCAATCGAGCGGGGTATATGGCGTTATCTTTAATGCCGGAGTAACATTCATCCATTGAGTGGTACAAGGATGACCATTTGTAAAGCAGCAGTAGCAGCAGCATCTTGGTAACGCCGAAATATTCCATCTTTCTTTCCTTCTTTCACCATGTTTTCTTTTCCACGCATATCTCGAGTAGCCATCATTGGAGCTGGACCGGGTGGCATTGCTGCTGCCAGAGCTTTGCGTGCTGAAGGTGATGTGTTTGAAAAAATCACTCTATTCGAGCGTAATGCAGCTGTTGGAGGTACTTGGTATGTATGCGTGCGTGAGAATGAAAGGAACACACACACTCTCTTTTGTTGACACACACACACACACTCTGTTGAAAGGATCTACTCACCCGAAACCAATGCGACGCCTCCCATGCCATCGGTGAATGCACTTCAAGTCGATCCTCCTTGTCAGGCAGCTCCACCTCATCCTCCAAAGTCACCCATGTACCAAGAGTTGCACACCAATCTTCCTTCTGATGTCATGGCGTTTCGTGACATTGCATTTCCATCGGGCACACCCACGTTCCCTGATCGAAAACAAGTGCTGGACTATGTGGAGCATGTGGCCACCCAAGAAGGACTGAAACCATTGATTCGATTCAATAGCACGGTGACAAGAGTGGATCCTTTACACGACAACACGTGGCAGGTCTCAGTAACGGATCAAAATGGTGATGGGAAGAAGGAATATCAAGAGCAATACGATGCAGTGATTGTGGCTTCAGGGCATTATTACGTACCGTACGTACCTGATTTTGTTGGGTTGAGTGATTATGTGAAGACATCCAAGGTGACAGTGATGCACTCGCGTGAATATCGAAAGGCCTCTGATTTCAAAAACAAGGTACACAAGTGAATGAAGTATAACTGCAACAACATTTTACTCATATTCTATGATAGAATGTACTTGTCGTTGGCAGTGGCTCTTCTGGATCGGATATCGTACGCCAGATAACGGATGTCGCATCCAATGTATACCATTGTGTCCGCACCCATACCTCCTTTTCACAATCCTTGCATGACAATGCTCCTGCCAATTTACAGCTTGTTGGCCCACTGACAACATTCCATCCAACCACAGGCGCCATCGACTATCAAGAGCATCACAACAATGACAACAGCAGACAACTCGTGAACCTTGATGCCGTGATTTTCGCCACCGGATATCTTTTCAGCTTTCCTTTTCTACCTTTCGAGAAGGATGCTATCATTGTCGATGGTCAAAATGTCACGGGACTATACAAGTGGATGTTTTATATGAACAACCCTACCTTGAGCTTTGTGGGTTTACCCATCCGTGTGGTTCCTATGCCATTGATGCAATCCCAGTCCACAGTGATTGCTCGTGTATTGAGTCAACGTATTCCTTTGCCATCCACCACGATCATGCAATCACACGTTACTACCGTGAGCAACAATGACAGGCACAGTATTGTGATGGGCGCACAAACCGAATTCGACTATGTGGAAAGTCTAAGTGCATGGGCTGAGAACAAAGCAAATGATATGGATGCATGGAGAAACCAGTCGACGGATATAATCACAGGTCCTTTATCTGAGAGGTGGAAGGAACGTCGTCAACGATCTTTACAATTACGTTTAGAATGCCTTGGATACTAGAAGTAGACTCTAGATACGTATATACAAGTCCTAATAGACTCTTTTATTCCACCTCACGTATCCATGGAAACCAACAAAATTGTAACACATGAACCATGCATTATTGTTTGAGCCAACACGTCTGCTGATGCGAAAGTTGTGGTGGTGCGTGCCTGCTTTTGTGCTACATCTCATTCAGGTTGGTGAAACCACGCATGGTAGCACCTGACAACGTTTTCGGGCCAAGATCACAAAACTATGTGTGGCGTCGTGTTCATGTTTTTATGGTTTTAGCGGCAACACCCCTTCAAGACGTTGCGAGAGCTAAGCTAAAAGATGATCTTTTTGTGATGAAGGTGCGAAAAGTTGTATATTGGATGCATTTTACATCGCCGATCCAAACCCGGTGGATCTTTTTTCATTTCCCTGAAAATATGGGGTAAAGTGGTTTACAAACGTTGGAAGGGAGAATGGGTTCAAGGAAAGCAAAGAAAATGAGGTTTCTTGCTGTGTTGTGGAAGGACGAGTCAAATTGAGAATTTCATATGCAAATGATGCATCATTTTGTTGCATGTGTACCTATATGCGTGTGTGCGTGGGGGAGTGTCACCAAGCTTAATTGCACTAGTAACCTTCTTTTTTATATAGCACGCGATCTTGTTGCTGCATGTACTTTTTTCTCACTCCCTCTCTTTCTCTTTCTTTTTACGCACACACATACACGCACGCAGCACCTAATACTATATATTATACCTTGTCTCTCCTTTTAACACACGCTCTCCATACCCTTACTTTTTACTTTAATACGACAACAACGACAATATGAAAAACTTTTCGGTGGAAGTGGGACCCAATTCCCAACCCAACGGTGGACGTATTCGACGTGCTATCTACTCACCTGAAGAGCTGGTACGCATTCCTCATACGGATGTGCACACGCTCTATGACGTGTTGCAGTACAGTGTGAAGCGTTTCGGTGAAAAGCGTGCATTTGGCTTTCGCAAGGTGGAACAAATCATTGAAGAGGAAAAGGAAGTGGTCAAGTACGTGAATGGTGTGGAGCAAAAGAGCACCAAGACATGGAAATATTTCCAGTTGTCTGGCTATCATTATCTCAGCTACAAGTCGGCGTCACAACTTGCACATGAGCTTGGATCTGGTTTTGTTCATTTGGGTTTGAGTGATCGTGCCAAGGTGGAGCTCTTTGCCCCAACAAAGTAAGTCTCATTCTTCTCCTGGTGATGAAAAGGATACAGTGGATTGACGACATGTCTTCCTTAGTGCACATTGGTTGATGACGGCTCATGCATTATTCACGCAAGGGAATACGATTGTTACTGCGTATGATACACTTGGTGAAGAAGGCTTGTTGCATTCCATGAACGAAACGGGTGTCGAAGCAATTTACACCACTGGCGAATTATTGCCAACCGTTGCCAAGGTGATTGACAAGTGCCCCACTTTGAAATTTGTTGTCTTTCAAGGTGAAGCTTCTGCTGATGCTATTGAAAGCATTCAAAAGAACAGCTCATCGGTTCAGCGTATCATTTCATTCGATGATCTTGCACGACTTGGCAAGGAACACATGCGAGATGCACGTCCTCCAGAACCTGAAGATTTATGCTGCATCATGTACACATCGGGTAGTACGGGTAATCCCAAAGGTGTCATGTTGACTCACAAGAATATCGTGGCTGCCAGTAAGTAAATGGATACATGCCCCCCAAATGAGACCATCATTAACACATTGATCCTACTTCTAGTTGCTGCATGTAACAAGATCCTGGGTCATTTGGTCAATGAACGTGATAGTATGATGGCCTATCTCCCTCTTGCCCATATCCTCGAATTTGTTGTAGAGAACCTATGTATATTTTGGGGTGTTACCCTTGGTTACGCCTCTGTGCGTACATTGACCGATACCTCTGTGCGCAATTGCAAGGGCGATATTCGTGAATTCCGACCTACCATCATGACAGGTGTACCACAAGTGTGGGAATCTATTCGTAAAGGCGTACTTGCCAAAGTAAACGCCTTATCACCCAAGGCTCAAGCCATGTTTCACAAGGCATTTGCTACCAAGCTCTGGCTCATGGAACGTCAACTTCCCACAGGCTTTTTGGATAAAACCATCTTTGGCAAGATCCGTGATCAAGTGGGTGGTCGTTTAAGATTTGCACTTTCGGGTGGTGCACCCGTATCCATCGAAACGCAACGTTTTCTTTCTGTGACGGTATGTCCCATTCTTGGTGGCTATGGCATGACTGAAAGTAAGTCGTTGTTTATTTGTTTGTACATGTATCATGCAGGATGGAGGAGGGTAAATAGCTAATGATGATGCACGTGCATTGCTTTTTGTTATATCATAGGTTGCGGGTAAGTGTGGTTATTATTGTGAGGAGTAGGAGTAGGAGAAGCATGATGGTTAACCCAAAATAATAGCATGTGCGGAATTATGGTGCCAGAGCAATTTGGCTATGGTCATGTGGGTAGTCCTGTCCCATGTTGTGAAATTAAGCTTGTGGACGTACCAGATGCAGGCTATCGATCGACAAACAGCCCCAAGCCGCAAGGTGAAGTATGGGTTCGTGGACCTTCAATCACTCAAGGCTATTGGAAACGGGAGGATCTTACACGTGAAACCATCACCGAGGATGGATGGCTGCAAACGGGTGATATTGCCGAGTGGAACGAGAATGGTACCTTGGCCATTATTGATCGTAAAAAGAACCTTGTCAAGCTCAGCAATGGTGAATACATTGCTTTGGAGAAACTCGAATCCGTGTACAAGAGCTGCTTGTACGTCAACAATATCTGTGTGTATGCCGATCCATTGCGTCCACGTGCTGTAGCCTTGGTGGTACCTGTCGAAAACACCGTGCGTGATCTTGCCAAAGAACATGGGCTTGATAAAGCTGAATGGGAAGACATTTGCAGCAGCAAAGATGTCCGACAAACTGTTCTCAAGGCCATGACAAAGCAGGGTAAAGAAGCCAATCTCAAAGCAGCCGAATTGTTATTCGATGTGTATCTTTGTCCTGAAGAATGGACCATTGAGTCGGTAAGTGTATTGCGTGGGTGTGTTCATTGTAATCCCAACCTGCTGACTGATTTCGGGGATCACATGTGAAACAGGGGCTTCTCACCGCCGCACAGAAAATCAAGCGCCAAGATATCAATCGTCGTTATAAGGATCAACTTGACACAATGTAAGTTGTAAAAGCATTCACTCACATGATTTCTTACATTGCAATGATGTTACTAGGAACAATGCACAAGCATCTTGATTGAATTATTTAGTATAACGTATCATATAACGCTTAATATACAACACCCTTTTTTCTCATAGTTGGGTTGGGCGTCATTTTCAATTGTGTGGGGAATTAGATTGGTGGGATTATTGGGAGAGTGAGTGGGTGGGTGGGTCGTGGGTTGACTGCAGGATTTAGTGCCAGGCCGAGAACACAGCGAGGGTGGTCTTGTTGGTTACCCTTTTCCCTTTCTCTCACTCACTCGCTCTCTCACTCCACACGCTTTATCACATACACACACACACACACACACACAGGCAGCAGACTCCACCTCTAAACATCGCTTCTCTACCTCTCTCTCTCTTTCTTTCTCTTGGTCCATTCTTTCTCACATTCTATCAACTCATCTATATCCGATCGCCTTCTTGGACGATAACAATCCCGTGCCCGATTGCTTCATCAGCGACTTCAACTTTGATCAGCTCATCGCTCGCTTTATTCCACTCAACATCTCGAGTCTCTTATCACCATGGCTTCACGAACAAGACCTCGAGCACATAGTGAAACGGGAACGGTGCAACATGATTATGGGTAGGTTACTGCTACTACTACTGTTGCGACAATGAACTTATATGTTCCAACGATAATAGACAACTCGTATCTGAAGCCTTTCAACGATATCAGCTACCCAGCAACCTAGGTCATGAAGTAGCAGGATGGCCAGCAGAAGAAGGTGTCACTCGACGCATCCAATCTCGTTTCCTTGGCTTATCTTCACTCAAGCTCACTCATTGTACACTACCAAGCATGGCCTTTTATGAGATCACCGAGTCGGAAATTTCAGTGATTGCATCTCGACAACAACATCAACATCAGCGACAACATGATTTGGGTGAAGAAGATGATAAGGTGTCATTGTCTACTACGAGTGCTTCATCTCCCGAGTGTGTGGATGCTTTATTATCACTGGCCCAATCGAGTCCGCCGCCGCCGCCTCCGTTAGGAGATGCCATGATCTTGGCTGATAATCCATCATCAACATCATCATCCACCACTCGTTCCTTACCGCCAAAGAAAAGAAAACGCCGTCGTGTCATCAGCTACAATGTCGTCTTTTGTATTCCTTCAACGATAAATGAGGATCTTCTCACCCTTCCTAACCCCGATCAAGAGTATTTCATATTTCCTCGGGATGCTGTGGTCGAAGCTGTCAATCAAACATCGACACCTTTGGAGGTATACTTTTCTATTGGATATGCCTGTGTATATACTTACTTATCTCTCTCTCCAATATTAGGTCATGTTTTCATATCATCTTCCTCAATGTACCATTGAACCGACAACATCATCCTTGATCCATTCTTCTTCCTTGTTGCATTCCATGTGTTCATGCCGATCATCCACCTATCCATCTAAACTGGAGGAATTCGCAACTGTATGTTCAGATCACCTTGCGTCTACCAACCATAGCAACACTTTTCTGCGCTCGCAACGACGTTTCACCGATCCATGTATCCAAGCTGAAAGTTGTCATGTCCTCAACATGCGGATGACGGGTGTATCCAAGGATTTATATGATGCCATGAAACAAGTGGTTTCTAATTTCGAATCTGTATGTCAACGCATGATGGATTTGGTATGTATTATCAAGGGCAGGACTCGATGTATTGGATGGATGAATGAATCATTCATTGTTATATATAGATACGATTGCATACCGAAAGGATGAACAATGAAAAGGCGGTTGATTTGAAGCAAGAGGATCAAGACATGACCGAAGAAGAAGCTACGATTACAACCATGTTGACCAAGACCCAAGTCCAATCCGAAGAAGAGGAAGAGGTGGATCCAATGCTCTATGATAGCACAGCTGCTGTTGCTACGGGAGGCGGTCATTGGAGCAGTGATGAATGGGACAAGGGTCGGTATAAAACATTATTTCGTCGTTTTTTTCTTTCCCTTATGCTGAACTCTCTATATTATGTCATCAGATTTGGATGATGACCAAGATGATACTGATTACTGCATGACATCACCCCACAGCAAGTCAACGATTGCAAGTACAAGTAGTCATTATACAGCAGCAGCAGCAGCTCCTCCTGCTCAACCCCCACCACCACCACCTGTTACGACGACGACGACAACGAGTAATACTACAACAGAGACAAAGAAAGGAGGCAAATCAGGGAATGGGAGCAATGGCATGAAGAAATGCTTGTATTGTGGATCAAAGTCAACGCCCATGTGGCGTCGTGGGCCTCAGGGTGCAGGTACACTCTGCAATGCTTGCGGCGTCAAGTGGAAACATGGCAAGATCCTCTGTGGCAACGATGCACCTAGTCAAGCCAACACGACTTTGTCATCATCAACATCATCGACACAAGCCAAAGAATCACATCCTCGAAGGAATAGTGGGAAAGGAGATAAACGACGACGCAAAACATCTTCAGCGACGATCAAAAAGGATAAAGCGAGGAACAAGGCAGCGCAACAAAGGAAACGTGCAAGCATACAACAAAAGATGGAATCGGATGAAGATGACATGATGACGGGTGTTCAGTATACCTTTACTTCACCAAGAGATATTGTTCCTGAATCATTCCATCATCCTCGTTATCAACAACAGCAACAACAACAACGAATGTGGGAGCCTAGCAGCAGCGTATCATCGTATTCCCATTCATTTGAAGAATCATCATGCAGCCCACCTTTGGAATCGTTTTCCTCATCGCCCAACTCTTCCATTCATGATCCAATGATGGATAAGAACTCATCTTCCTCCTCCTCGTCATCATTCCCGTTATCCGATGCTGTTGAAGCCGCCACTGTTTTAACCTTATTGAAACGAAGCTAGGATTCCTCCCCCCCCCTTCATCATCCGTATCCCTTATCTTTTTTGTATTTTATTTTCTCATTTTCCACATTGTAAACAACCTCCTCTCTTTTTTTGAATACAATTCTGCCTTATCCCCACTTTATTTACTCGTACAAAGGAATATCAATACCGTAAAGCTCAAGCTCATTGTATCGAATGTTCTTATCCATGTCCGTGATCGCCTTGTAATCTTGATCATCCAACGACCAGGAAAACAAGTCGAGGTTTTGTTTTTGGCGTGTGTCGTTGCTGCTCTTTGGAATGACGGCCACTTTTCGTTGCACTTGCCAACGTAATAAGACTTGGCCTGTGGTCTTGCCATGCTTGTCAGCGATCTTTTTGATGGTTTCATGTTCCATCAAGGGGACCAGATGCATGTTCTCCGCGGTGAATTTATCGAATGCTTCGGGACCAAATTGCGAGTAAGCTGTCACTTGGATACCTTGTTTTTGGAACCAGTCGACGACTCTTTGGCGTTGCAAGTACGGGTGCATCTCGATTTGTAGCACAGCAGGCTTGATCTCGCAATACGTCAAGAGATCCAATGTCAGCTGCACATTAAAGTTCGAGATACCGATATTGCGTAGCTTGCCTTCCTTGACCAAAGCTTCCAACTCACGCCATAAATCTTGAAGAGGCGATCTTTCCAACTCGAGCTTTTTCGAATCGGGATCGACCCATTCAGGTGGATATTGACGAGATGGATCAACGTACTTTTGTGGAATGGGCCCTATTATCATACGTCAACAATGATGATCCTATTATCGCTGGCTCACGTTGCTTACAATGGATATGGTACAAATCAATGTAATCGAGACCAAGTTGCTTGAGATCACGTTCAAATTGAGGGCGCACATGACTCTTGTGATGATAACAGTTCCACAATTTGGCCGTAACTATATTTTATATGATGCAATGATTTAGTGCCATCCTATTCGGCTCCGACCAAGTAGTTACATAACATACCAAAGACATCCTCGCGCTTTACAATACCCTCGTCAATGGCACGGCGAATACCCTTGCCAACACCTTCCTGGTTGTCGTATAGCAAGGCTGTGTCAATAAGACTAGAGACGGGCTTAGTGATGCGTCTTTACACATCCTCGCTCTTCCTTACCGGTAGCCATTCTTGATAGCTCTATAAATCATTTCCTCGCCTTGGTCGTTCGTAATTTTCCAAGTGCCCAAACCCACAAGGGGCATCTTTTGTCCACTTGGTTCCAAAGTGATTGTGTTTTCTTGTGACATTGTATGGATGTGTATTGGGAAAAAAAAAGAGAGAAAAAGAAGACGCGTTGAGACACAAAGGGATGACTTTATATCGGAGGGTGGTGTTCTCACAGTAACGTTGCTGGATGGGGGTTATCCAGTTCACTCCGAAAGCCCTTGGCTGTACATAGCTTATTAATCAACCGGAATGCTGCTTTTGACGTATAAACTTTTATGTTATGTACGATGAGACAATGTGGATACATTGCACGTGATAACGAAGTCTCAATCGATCGACGCACACGTCGTCGCTATAGCAACCGTATCCATCCCAATAGGTTGCTAGGATACCTACTATGTACGTAGATGCATGGAGGGTCCAGCATAGCTAGGGCTTAAGACACCAACAACTACTACTTGTACATGCAAGGAGTATCTTACCACAGGGGTGTAACAACTTTCAACAGCAAGAACAGCAGTCATTTGATGGTACATGATGCATCAGAGTTATTTGAAAGATCAACATGTAAGGCTGCACCGGCCACAGAGAGGCACGAGGTCATGCAACAAGTGTGGCTTTCGTTGATACATGAATGGCTTTACATTAATTGTATTACTGATATTATCAACGCTCAATTTTTCTTACCGTCAAAAAAAGGGGGGGCAATGTTGCATTGATGTGTGGTGATGTTCTCCATGGAAACAGCTGCATGACTAGGTGGCCAAGGAGCTCATGCAGGACCATTCAACACAAGTTTAGAGTTTTTTCTTTGGTGGCAAATGCTTAACATTAAGCTCTCTCAGCAGATCCAATGTTTTTGCTGGCCGCAGTAATGAGCGTTCAGAATGAGTCAAATGCAATGATAATGTCCTTGTATTCTGTTATTGGAAGGAACATGGCCTCGTAGTCCAGTGGGGGTACACTCAAGCATCCAAGTGAGACTAATACAAGAAGCTCCTGCATACCAAGTACTAATGTGCTTAGAGAAGATAGCCCATTCTTGATTACACCTAAGCTTGTACTATGTAGCTGCAATGATGATGTTAAAACGACATTCAATTAAAGCAGCCTCGTTTCAGATTGACAAGCAGCAGCCAATGTACGTAGTAGAAAATGCGAATGATCGAATGTAGGATTTTCTATGTTGCAGTAATAGCGAGCACACTCTCCGTATGATCGGGTACATGCATATTTGTGCATCCAGGCCAATCTTCCCGTATCTTGGTTTGATAACCTATTTAAGGATGTCCCTCGTTTTTCTTCTTTCTTCACCCCATTATCCATCATCATGATGACGACGCCTATTCCTTCTTCAACTTTATCACTACCACAGTTCCACGAACCATCTCAGCATCATGCCTTCATCAATCTCTTCCGGCACTTGGTATCCCAATACGAGACACACGCATGCATCTACTATCAAGAAGGCAACAGCACGTCCTTTCACTGCTTGACCTATGGCCAAGTCGACCACATTAGCACCAATTTGGCATGTCACTGGGCATCTTTTCTACCTGCTGCTGGTGGCCATAAAAATCATACGCCGGTTGGTTTTTTGGCCGACCACTCTATCGATTACTTTATATGCTTTCTTGCTATTCTCAAGCTGCGGATACCTTTTCTCGCCCTGTCGCCTCGTAACTCGAATATGGCAATTGCACACCTGCTTGAAAAGTCAAGAGCTGGGTTACTTTTAGCATCCACAAAGTATGAGCTTAAAGCTAGGGATGCGTGTAACCTCGTCAACAAGCATCATGATGAAGAAGATGAGACGCTGCTGGTGTTGTCCCATCAGCTGTTTTCACCCCTGGATCTCGAAACCCTTTTAAAAGAGCCATTGCATCGTGACGCTTATGATGTTGTTAATACGCACTTCACAAAAGATGATGGCACTATGCCAGTACTTTACACTCATAGGTTTGTTGGATGAAGTACTACAATCATGCATATGCATTCCTAAAATAGTTGCTTATGCATAGTTCAGGGACCACATCCTTTCCCAAGCTTATTGCCCATACGAATCAACGTTTCACGCTGATGGCCCAGACGTTTGCTTATGACTTTCAAAAGATGCAGCAACGATCAAAATTCACCTTAGGTGTCACCGATGTCTTATTAAATACCTTTCCGCTGTAGGCATAAAGTGGGTTGAGTGAGGGGAAGAAAAAGAGATGTACTAATTTTTCTGCTATTGATTGCTGCAGGTTTCACATTGCAGGGATGGAACAAACATTTGCTGCAATGGTGCATGGCAGCTCATGCGTGTTCTTATCCCAGCCTCTTGCACAATCCACAGATCTGGTACGTGCAATGGAACAATGTCCCGTCACGTATGCCGCCTTACCGCCTTTGATGCTTGATGATCTTGCCATGTATCTCAAGAGCACCGCTAATTATGAACCTTTTCAGCGGCTCAAATACATCACGTAAGTATAGATGTTGTTGTATGATGATGGCTGATGTTTATTGTACGACAGGTTTGCAGGTGCTCCATTACGGCAAAATGTCGGTGACTTTTTAGCTGCTCATGATATCCGCTTGCAGAGTGTGGTTGGATGTACAGGTAAGAAAGAGAAAGAAAAACGTGCATACAAGTATTCATTGTTATGCACAACTAGAGCTTGGCGTTTGTTTATGGAACGATTTTAATGAACAACGAGCACCTTGGAATGCATGTAGACCCTCTGGTCTTATAGCAGAGTATTGTTCATGGGAGCCATTTGATGAGCTTTTGGAGGTATACCACTTGGTGATCAAAGCAGGATGTCCAAAAATGTCACCTTGCATTGCGAATCGTGTCAATGGCGACTTTGCAACCAATGATCTATTTATGGAGGACCCGCCAAGTTCTGGTTACTGGTGTCACCTTGGTCGTATTGATGATACTTTGGTGATGGAGAATGGAGAAAAAACGAATCCCACACCTATGGAACATGTTATTCGTGCATCGCCTGTAGTCAAGCATTGTATTGTCATTGGACAAAATCGCCCCTGTACAGGTGTACTTGTTGAATTGAAAGACAACATTGCTCATAAGGATATCAAAGAACAAGGTTTGGATGATCATTGGATGATAAGACCCGCTGCTGACATGGAGGATAATATTGTAGTGCACGCTGCAGTAGCTGCTGCCAATAATGAGGCACCAGATCATAGCCATATTCTACCACACATGGTCTACATCCTCTCCAGCGATGAGCATTTGCCATTGAATGCAAAAGGAAATGTTGTTCGAAAAGAGACAATGGAGCAGTTTAAGGATGTCATTGAAAACATGTATGACGAATTTATGCAAGGAACAACCTCCACGTTGAATGTGCCCAAAAGTTCAGATACCATCATCCTACCGAACGCCCAACAACTCGAATCTTTCCTTTGCAATGAAATTGCTTCCGTATTGGGAAAGGAACCTTCGCTCATTACCACCAACAAGAATCGCTCATTATTCGACCTTGGTCTCAATTCACTGCTCGTCATTCATCTACGCAACATCATTACCAAATCATTGAAGGTATCCATACCCAACAATTTTATATACGAGCATCCATCCATCCATGCCTTGGTACACGCTTTGAGGAAAAGACAAGATGACCAATCCACTACTACCATTACCACCATGGAGCAGCATTACAAAGAAACACAAGCTTTGCTTGATGGTTATCTTGCACGTGCCAAGCATGATTTTCAAAAGTGCGTTGCGATACACCAGCAACATCATGGCCACGTCGTGTTGCTTACCGGTGCCACAGGATCCTTGGGTTCATTTATGCTGTGCGACTTGATTGAATCGTCACGTGTCACAAAGATCTATTGCTCTGTGCGCGCAACCACCCATGCAGAAGCCATCAACCGCATCCGTCAATCATTTTACGATCGTATGCTTGATGTATCATTGTTGGATCATGTCAAAGTGGAAGCACTACCAACCGATTTCAACGCAACCTACTTTGGGTGGGGCAAGGAAACCTATAGTCGACTACGTCAAGAAGTCACCATGGTACAAGCATGTGGTTGGCTAGTGGATTTCAATCAAACCATCACCCATTTTGATAAGGAATGCATCCAAGGTCTCTATAACCTGCTAAAGTTTGCACATCATCCCGTCAATCCAATGAATGTGCACACCATTTCAAGCATTAGTGCTACAGCTGCCATGCATCGTTTTAGTATGCCAGAGACGTTTCCACCTCAAGATCCACATGTGGCACTCCCCATCGGGTATGCTCAATCCAAGTATATTGTGGAGCATTTATTTGATTATCTCATGAGAGAAAAGCACTTTCCTTGCATTGTCGAGCGAGTGGGTCAACTTTGTGGCGATACGATTCAAGGCGCAGCATGGAGCAAGAACGAGCAGTATCCTTTAATGATCATGGGCGGTGGCGATCAGCTACATAGGATGCCTGATTTGAAAGATACCATGGTTGATTGGCTTCCTGTGAACTATGCATCTGCCGCTATTGTAGACATCATGCTAAAGTCATCCTTAACGCCTCTTGAGGATCTGGTGGGACGTGTGTTTCATATTGTCAATCCTAACCGTGTAAGCTGGTCTCATGTTCTCAAGGCAATGCATGGCTGCGGAATGAAGTTTCAAGTAGTGGACCCAAAAGAATGGATTAAGACGTTACAAGAGCATCAAACCAATCCAGCCTATCGCTTGTTATCATTCTATCAACTTTTTCTACTCCAAAGGGAAAATGATGCAAGGCCCACGCAAATATGGGAAACCAAGCACACTACAAGACTAACCAAGATGCTGGCAAAAGCTCCCGTTTTGGATACAAACCTCATGTCAAGATATTATAGATATTGGAAAAGCCATGATGCATAATAAACCCCACTTGCAAGCATTTAGTAGATCACGTATTAGTAGTGTCATTTGCTTCAGGAAAGCACTCCAGCGATTGTATACTTTTGAGGAGGGCTACGTTTTTCAAGTACAATGCAATCATGCATGCGACATCGATGTACGAATATAGTAAAGAGTTTGTTGTATGCACAACAAGGTTTCTGCATACAGCCTCCTTGACAGGGATACTATACGTACCTGGAAATCATGGACAAAGGATCACCCAATGGATCAATCCCAATATCAAAAGACAAGTCATCTTTTTGGTACATGAACACCTTCCATGTTGATATGAAGCACGGGCCACCTTTATTATCATCATCCAGAGCTGGGTTAGCACGTGAGCAGATTGCAGATCAAGCGATCGGAAAAAACGGCAGAATGTGATCCGAAGCGAGACGTGATACAATTCTGCTCCGAGCAATGTGGGTAGATTAACCAAGTCGTAGTGAGCTTATGTTGCATTATTGCTTGCCAAAGTAACACAAGGTCAAATGATGCCCCTTTATACAGTAGATTATCTTTTAATGGATTTGGATGAATGACAGATGGTACATTGTAAAACCAAGGGCAATAATAATGACATTGAGTATTATAAGAAATAAAAGGTAGATCATGTTGGTATATGGATACGTGTGTTCTATCGGTTTCCAAAGAAGAGGGGAGGAGGAGGAGGGAAAAGAGCGAGATCCAGTCACACAAGGTTGCCCATCCAGTTGCATGCCCCAACCTCTGTTCTTTCTCTCTTTTCCTTTCCACTTGTCTTTCTCGAGCCACGTATACAACTATGCCTGGAGGACGAGTACTTTGTACCTCGCTGTTCCTTCCGTATACTATCGACTTTGAACTTGCAAGGGATAAACGGTCGCGTTATCTCACAACGACAACACCCACCAGCACAACATCCCCGACATTGCCCACCGAAGCACCTGCATCCAATGTCCTTCGTGAACCAAATGCTCCATTGAACCACCACCACCACCACCAACACAATGAACCACCACCCAACTTGATTGCCAGCTTGAAACAAAAGCAACGCCATGAGACCAATGACAACAACAACAACAACGCGTTGTCGTCGTCGTCTGCCACCACGCCGCTAACCAAAAGCAGCAGTATTCCAAGCGACGATACAAGGGCCATGTTCGATTTTAAGAAGCCTGAAAAGTTGGTACAACCCAAGAGTAAAGCTCAGCGAGAAAAGGATATGAAACGACCTTCACCACTCATGGTTCAACCTGTTGCACCCTCGCATCATCATCATCATCGAGAACAATCCTTGGATAGTGCCACTTTGTTTGATGAAGCGCCTTGGACCGTGAAACCTTGTATCGCTGGCAACATTGGATTACACAATGCATTGGTATCAGTACAAGGCAAGGAGGGAGATGTTTTGCAAGATCGTAAATGCATGTGGATTGGTACCCTCGGCATGTCCACCGATCAATTGTCCAACCAGACACGGGGTGATATTCGATCCAAGATGATTCTCGAGTATGATGCGTATACCGTGATGCCCTCCGATACCGAGTTTGAAGGCCACTATGATCGATATTGTAAGCAGGTGAGATCATATCTATTGAAGGGCTATGGTGTTCATCATCAGAGAAAGGGGAAAAGGTCATTGACCCTCTTTTGTTAGGTGCTATGGCCGTATTTTCATTACGTGGTGCAAGATGATTTGCAAAATATGATGTACCAGAATGATGCATGGATGGCGTATAAATCGCTCAATCAACGATTTGCTGATGTGATTGTGGAGAATTATCAAGAGGGGGATATAAGTAAGTATGCCATGATTGTTCTCTCTCTCATCCTGAATACTCACGTTTTTTACTCCCAAGTCTGGATCAACGACTACCATCTTATGCTATTGCCCGGATTGGTCCGTGAAAAGTTACCACACGCTGTCATTGGCTTCTTTTTACATATTCCGTTTCCAAGTTCCGAACTATTCCGCTGTCTTCCCAGTAAGTCTCCTCCTCCACCTTCCTTTCCAATCGGATAAACTAACATGCGTCAACGTGTGGATTTTAGCACGCAAGGAGCTATTGAGTGGCATGTTGGAAGCGGATCTCGTTGGATTTCAGACCTATTCCTTTGCAAGGCATTTTTTACAAACATGCTCTCGCATCTTATCACTGGACACCACGCCATCAGGCATTCAGATGGATTCGCATTATGTATCGATTGGTATCTTCCCTATCGGCATTGATATTGACACGCTAAACAAAAAAAGGTTAGTGAATCTATACACACATAGCTGGGATAGTCCATTATTGACGAAGAATGATCTCTATAGATCAGCACCCGAAGTACAGCGATCCGTTGAGATGTTGCAGGAAAAATATGCAGGCAAAAAGTTGATCGTGGCACGTGACAAGCTTGACTATATCAAAGGCGTGCGACAAAAGCTACTTGCGTTCGAGCAATTTTTGATCCGACATCCTGAATGGCGAGAAAAGGTAAAGAAAGGACAAGAGAGCAGGATGATGATAAACAAGGATTGACACAACCCATGTTGTTGTTTTTTAGGTTGTCCTTATCCAGATTGCTTTATCCACAGCCGAAAAGAATGAATTAAGGGCTCATATATCGGATGTGGTCTCTCGAGTGAATTCCAAATTCAGCACCATTTCCTATCAACCCATTGTATTTCTTCATCAAGACATCTCCTTCTCGCAATATCTCGCTCTTCTCACTGCAGCCGATACCTCCCTCATCACACCATTACGTGACGGTATGAATCTCACGTCTCACGAATACATTGTCTGTCAAGAAAATAACCATGGTCCACTCATCTTGAGTGAGGTACGTATCCATCTTTATATGTATATGACTCTATTATTGACCCTGTGTTCTAGTTCACTGGCACTTATGGCAGCTTTGGAGCATGTTTACGAGTGAACCCGTGGGATTATCGTGTAAGTGTATTGGATTGGATGAAACATTGGCAAAAGGAGGATGTATGTTGACCTTTGACCACAGCAAGTGGGTGACGCCATTCATGAAGCACTCTCCATGGGTGAAGAGGAAAAGGCTGGTCGATGGAAGGTATGTGCATGATATCAAGCAATGGCACTTTTGCTGATTTTCATGCCAATAGGAATTATACAAAAGCATTGTCACCAATTCAGGTATGTTGATTTTCCCCCTCCGAGTGATGCATGTATATTGAAAGGAAACGTGTGTCTACCATTTCTAGCACAACACTATGCCAGTAGCATTATCAATGAATTGATCAAGGCAAGTAAAAAGCCATCGAGTCAAAGGGTGCGCATTTCATTTATACCTTCTTTGTAATAGATCCGCAACGGCGAATTACATCGTATTCCAGCACAGATACCTCCTTTGGATGTTGATCATGTGAAAGAATTGTTCCAATCCAGCAAGAATGGCTTGTAAGTATTTGGTCAATGTTAGTAGCGTGGATGACGTCTCTAAGACGATGATGTTAGGCTCTTGTTCGATTACGGTGGAACGTTGGTGCCACATGGCAAAACAGCTGGACCTGGTGATCTAGATCGGATATCGGATATTCTTTCCAAACTCACACAAAAGAGTGCCGTCTATGTGATATCAGGGAGGACACAGCCTATCATTGAGAGGGACCTGGGCCATATACCCAAACTTGGATTATGGTAAATAGTGAACGATGCGGATATGGATTTGGATATAGGATGGCTTACAAAGAAGGATACTACTACAGTGCTGAAAATGGTTTCCATATACGACCTCGTGGTGAATCATGGCAACGTATGCGAAGCGATGTCGATATCTCTTGGATGTCTGCTGTCAAGCAGGTTGGTTTTGTAAGAAGGGATTTTTGATTGCATATACTTACATGGATGGCTAGATCTTCCAATATTACACTGAAAGGACCCCAGGTTCATATATTGAAACGAAGGATATCTCCATTGTATGGGTAAGTTATTCATGAGCTATAGGTTGAAGGGAGGGAGATCTGACAAATGTATGATGTAGCATTATCGAAGCACTACAGCAGGGCAAGATGCTCAATTTGCGTAAGTATGAAATGGATGTACCGGGTGAACGGATAACTCAAAACGAATCTATAGTGGATGGCAAGCTGCTGAATGTCAAAATCATATTGCAGATTCAGTCAACAAAAACTTTGCTGTACATTCTGTCACTGGAAAAACCAACATTGAGGTATAACGAAAAAGCAAGTGATGATGAAGATGGTTTATGCTAAGACATTCGTTTAAATAGGTGATGCCACATGACATTAACAAGACAGCCATTGCCAATCGAATCCTTCAAGACATCAAGCCCGATTTTGTACTTGCCATTGGGGATGATCGGATGGATGAAGATATGTTTGCATTTCTCAACAAGCAAAAGATACCACATGTCATTACCTGCACTGTTGGGCCTCGTAGCACTGAGGCAAAGCATTTTGTGCCCAATGTTGAAGGGGTTTTAACCACGCTCGAGACTCTCTTGTCATGAATAAATCTCATTCACTTGCATTTTATGTGTGTGTCATGGAAGTGGTGGATGTTGCCTGGGAGACGCCCGAAAATGCCGATGTGTATGCAGCATGGTTGTTATTCACACTAGTCACAGGACCTGATTTTTGAACCTCTTGTCACCCGACACAACTCAACCCTCTAGACCCACCAAAAAAAACCCACCCATCGCCCTCCACCATGTCGCCCTCTTTGGTCACCGCCCCTTCAGAACGCATCGATCTGGGCGATATCACTCACAACAATGTTGGCCAATTGCGTAAACTAAACACGGTCATTTTCCCTGTCAATTACGGCGACAAGTTTTACAGTGATGTCCTCCATGCTGGCGAGTTGGCCAAGCTTGGTAAAGTAGAATGAGCGATGTACATATATATAGAAGCGTGTCTATGTACTTATGGATGTGTGAATAGTGTATTACAATGATATCTGTGTGGGTGCAGTATGCTGTCGTAAGGAGACCAAAGACAATGAACCACGACTATACATGATGACGCTTGGTGTTCTCAAGCCATACCGTCAACTTGGATTGGGTTAGTTTGTGTATATGGATGATGGGAATGAGAGTTGATCTAACATAGGTGGGATGTGTAACTAGGAAGCAAGTTGTTGGAGCATATTCTTGAACACGTTGGCAAGCACCCTGAATTGGGACCCATCTATCTTCATGTCCAGATCACCAATGAAGCAGCACTTAACTTTTACAAGAAGCATGGTTTTGAAGTGGTTGATACCGAAAAGGATTATTACAAGCACATTGAACCCAAAGATGCCTATGTTCTCCGCAAGACTACTACTCAAGCATCATCGTAGTCGTAGTAGCAGATTGTGTGTACAATAAAAAGTAATCTCTATTTACCCCACACACATTGGTTATCATGCAAGTATGGCATAGGATGTCGCAAGTGGGGGGGGGGGGTTTGTTGCACATGTCAAGGATCACGGGTTGGGTTTGCTTTCAAATTTGGGATCGCTGAGTCAGGTTAAATGAAATCCATATCTCTTCACACAAAGTGTGTGTGTGTTGTCTTATCTTTTTTGAAGGATGGCTCTACAAGGTATATATGCTTTAATAACAAACCAACAACTAGGATTAACCTTTATTCTTTATAGCCCTTAAAACACTTTGTCAGCAGCTTCAACAAGCAAAGCCTTTGCATATTGAATCACCACCTGAGCAACCTCGTCGTGCAGCTGTCGCAGCCATTCTACGATGTCGTCCCATTGAACATGACCACCCATCCACCTTCAATACTGACCCCATTACCAATGTCGCTGATTTCCTTCAACAACCTTGGGTGCAGCAGTCGAGTGAACCAGAACTTTTATTTATTCAAAGAGCAACGAGGGAAACTGATAGGTAAGAGAGAACAATGACACATGGCATGCTTTGATATTAACATGGGAGGGGGGGAAAGATGGTCAGGCCATGTTGCATTCCCAGGCGGTAAGAATGAAGCGAATGAAACAGATGAAGAAACAGCAATACGAGAAACCATGGAAGAGATTGGCTTGGATATCGGCAGCTCGGCATTTGTAAAGGTGGGACAACTCGATGAGCGGGAAATCACATCCACGGCTACTGGCAGACTCATGATGATCTTGACACCTTTTGGTAAGTTGAAAGAGAGAGAGAGAGGAAAAGCTTAAAGTAGTATCCAAATCTAATAAGATCCTTAGTCTTCCTTCAAGTGGTACCTGATACACCTCCATTGACCATCCAGGAATCCGAAGTGGCTACCGTACAATGTAAGTAGGAATGCATCTCCACCATCATCATCATTGTATTCACAAAGGATATTAATAGGGGTACCATTACGCTTCTTTTTGTCATCTACACCTTATCCTGATCAATCGATGCAAGAATCCATTGCACCTACACGTCGACGTGATAGTCGTATGATTGCTCCCTTGGCAAGAGTCATGCTTGGCACTGTCAGTTTCCCTGCTATTGATTTACCCGTGGATGATCCAGAGGAACATCGAATGCGTTTATGGGGCATGACATTGGGCATGACACGTGAATTGATTGAGCTTACCTGTACGGATACAACAAGCACCATCGATGGGAGGCCTGCATGGCAGCAGCAATTTGTAACCATGGCTGCCGCCAGACCCAAATTTTCCAATCTTGATATGCAATGGCTGGTTGAATTCTATCTACGCTTGTCCAAACCACGTTCAAAGACTCTTCATTCGTCTTCTTTGTAAGTTCGTATCACGCTCTCTCTCTCTCTCTCTTTTATACGATGGGCAGCAGCAGCAGCAGCAGTGGCAGCGGTAGAACTACCTACATGTGGCATTGGAAAATTAATTTGGATCATACATATCAATGTAGGCGGAAACATAGACATACCAAGGAAACCATTATCTATATTACTGCTTTTCGTCGTGCCATCTATACCGCTGTTGCCTTACGCATCCTCCTCCTGTTGGCTGGTATCGGTTATCTAGGACGTCGTTTACCCCTATCGCGCCTCATTAAGCTTTACTAAAGTTGACTAAACGCAAACACCCATTATAATAATAAACACGTTGGGGAATGCCTCATATCCTCATACTGGATGATAATGTATAAAGTGCTTGATGATGTGTGTGTATACACAACAAATCAACAAAGACCAATTACTGTATGTCTCCAATGAATCGAAAACAATGATCACAATGGGCTGAATTAAACTTTTTCTACTAGATAGACATCACAATGACAACGACAACCATGAGAGTAGGCTCATTGTGAAAAGCTATGGATGGCCATATCTGCATAGCTTAATCCGAAGGCATTCACCAGTCTTCAAAGGTATAGTGGGGCTCTCTTTGTCCCTTTCAACCTTGCGTTCATTCTTCTCATTCTTAGCGCCATAGCAAATTCATTGTGTATATGTGTCCTCTGACAATGAGACCATAACATACAAAGGTTGACAAAGATATAAAAGTTGCAAATACAGTATTGCTGTTATTGTAGGCATTTATCGCACTATGTCCCAAAACTCTTTTCACTACTCGCAGCTATCACTGTCAAGTCCGCCAACAACCCCAGAACAAATAAGAGCTCAACAACAACAGCAACAACGAGAAGAAGCTTCTCACCAACAAGAGCAACAACAACAAGAAGCTTCTCAACAACAACAGCAACAGCGGGCTCCACAAGAACGGTCTCCTCCACAAGAACGGTCTCCACAGCAACGGTCTCCACGACAACGGGCTTTACAACAACAAGCTCCACAACAGCAAGCTCTTCCTGTTCAACAACAACGAGCTCCACAACAACAGGCATCACAACCACAAGCTTCACAAGAGCAAGCTTCACAACCACAAGCTCTACCTCTTCAACAGCAAGCTCCACAACAACAAACTCCACAACCAGGACCTATTGTGCCTCCAGACGTAAACAATTGGTTGCATGATATCACTGTACCAGAAGCTTTCGAAATTCAAGGTATGCATATGAGGGTGGGAGGGATGCAACAATCATCACCTTTATGTTGTAACATCAATTTATTAGCTGCAGGTCTCATGGATCATATTCAATACAAGTGTCGACTAGCTATTCAATTCCTTGGGATATTTCCTAATGATGGCGAGGAGGTGGTGGAGCAACAACATCATCAACAAGGATCTCTGTTCCAGAAACTTTGTATTACTATTCTCATGGCAGTGAAGGTGATGGTGTATGCAATCGTGTTCGTACCCAAGGAGATTGTCTTGAGCCTCTTTGCCTATATCGACATGTGTGTTTTCTCGACCATTTTCAACTTTATCCTTTTCCACCTAAAGAACTTGGGTTATTGTCGCAGTGATCGCCCGTATGTTGATGCACACAGGCTGTTCTCGGTTCGTGGCGTGGAAACAAGAGCAGGGAGATCCAGAGTGGCCATTCGTATCTTAGCCATATGGTTCGCAGTTGAATTGTTGAAATCATGCGTGGATATCAGTGTCACCGAAGCCATTGACAACATGTCGCCCTTGTGGAAAACCCCAAAGACCATCGAGTGGAACGCTGGCATGGAAGTAACGACCTTTACAGATAACACGGTTTCCAGGAAACCGTTGCCATTGTTGTTGTCAAAAAAAGAGCCACCACCACCAAATCACGTGTCATCCTCACCATGTGCCCAGCTACTCCATAACTGTATCGCATCAAAGTTGCCACGATGGTTGTCCATGAGCGACATGGGTCCCAATGCCCTTTTATGCAAAGCGTGTAATCGTTTCTTGACGGGTTGTGAATGTCACCAAGAGAAGAAGGAAGAGCTGCCTCCTGATGCTGCATTGGCCACCCATGGATCGCGTGTCATTGCAGGCCTGACATCACCAACTTTCCAGCAAGGCGGCCTATTTTCCATATTCAAACGACTTCAACGACGACCACGCCCTAGTCCTATCACTGCCATTTTGCCTTGGAAGGAACCTGGTGAATGTTGGCCTATGGCTGGTAATCATGGATCCCTTGGTGTGGAGTTGAGCCAACCTGTATCAGTCAAAGCGGTCTCGATCGATTCTTCGGATCATCCCTTGAGCATGGCCAGTGCACCAGCGGATTTTGAAGTGTGGGGATTGATCCAGTACTACGTCGACGACCATCATCGATCTTGGAAGTATCCTTGGGATTCCTTTGATTCTATGATGGATGGCAACATCTTGTTCCTGGGTCGGTTTATATATGACTCAGCAAGAGGCCCTGCTGTACAAACATTTGAGATCGATGATCATGTCGACTTACCTCCCGTCAAGGCCGTTGTATTCCGTTTTCTCAATAATTGGGGCCGTGATGATTACACATGCATCTATCGCGTTCGTGTCCATGGTGAAAATTAGTAGTAGAAACATCCATAATTCCCCTTATTAGTAGTGTTAAAATTTTCTGTTACAGTAAATACATGATCGATAATCATACTTTGATGGCTAAACGTCGAGGTTGGTTAGACCTTTGATGATTATACGTACAATGTGAACTACCAGCATCTTGCTATCCTGATTCTCGTGGTATTAGTACACTATGTCAGCCAATCTCACGAAAACCTTGGAAGAAGAGAGGAAAAGAGCCTATCCTGAAACTTAGGATTGTGTATGCCACACGCCACATAGAGCTTGAAAGCTGCATAGTAATGCATGTCACACACAGACATCCCTCCCCTCCAATACTACCACTGGTGCTGTAATAAACGTTGCTGCATTAGCATTTGCTACCCCAACCCCTATTGGTTTTAGGTTAAGGTGTAAGCACATCGTGGCATAATGTTATCTACACCCAATTTGTAGTCAAAGCAAATCGATTGCTTTTCTTCGTCCAAGATGCCTTCTACTATAGCAATTTAACCATGCATATTAAAAATAATGACGCTAACCAACATTTGGTGCTTCTTTTTGGTTTCATAAGTATACACCGCATACATAGGATGATGATGTATATCATCACACTAATTTCAGGAGTTATGTAATGCTCTAGCATGTACGTTTAACCTATGCACACTAGACGATCAACAAGGATCATCCATACATAGCTGCATGATTTATTGGATGCATTTGTATGGTATGATACAAACAGGTAGAAGAATCTAAGACTATTCCTTGGAATATGCACATTATTGAATCACGTATATACATGCAGAGAGGGGGCTATAGAGATATGAAAAGTCGCATAGCACCACGTTGATCAATACTTTGAAAAGGAAGGTCCACATGTAGGATTCTTCAAACACACCTTGAAACTGGAGATGGGTGCTATTCATGATTCAGGGGTTTAGCTACCCATTACATTTTCCCTTGTGTGTTTGATCAAGCTGCTGCAATAGCATACACACAATGCGCTTTGACTTGTTGATCCCAGCTTCCTTAGTGTGGCATTATGATGAAAAGCCCGATCTAAGCACCAAAGATGAAATCATCATTCACGATTATAAAAAGGGAAGAATCAAAGACATGGATAACCGATATCAACAGCTTTCTTTTCTTTCATCCATTCGACTCGTAAAACAATCAACATGCTTTTCAAGACCACCCACTTCATCGCTTTTGCCGCTATCATGGTGACGACTACTTTTGCCGTACCTCTTTTGGGTCTTGATGGTGGAAATCAACAAGGGCAAACCGAGGGAGGACAAGGAGGTGGAGAAGCCGTCGGCGGTCTCGTCTCCAATGTGCAGAATACTCTCAATTGTGCTGTGGACTGTGTTACCTCCTCTGGCCAACCCCTTGATTCAGTGGATTGTATCAAGGCCGGCTGTGTTGGACAACAACAGCAAGAAGGCGGCAGTGGTACCTCGCCGCAGTAATTATTATTATCGTAATGGCGTCAATCAATAGCCTTCCATAGAGGAGACCCATTTACATTCGTTCAGCAGCACTTTTATACTAGCACTAGTTGTAGCTCTTTTTTTATCCATTGTGCTTTACATTAAACATCATCCAGTGATTAACCGAACTCTGCAGTTGGCAAAAGAGTGGTGTAAATGATATGCAAAAGGGGGAGATGATGTGGACCGTACCAGCCATTGGATGAAGATGTTTTCAGCGGCTCATAAAGACGTCATGTTTCATTATGTAGTTTATTGCGTTGATACATACAAAGGCAATACACTATAACTTTTAAGGATCGTGCTTGTTTTCTGCCATGGTGTCGCTATCTGAAATGTGCAACCTGCTTCTTTACCTCTTCCACCCCGACGCAAGAAACAAGGCTTTCAAACAAGCTCTTCTTTGGTCAAGATTACTATATTCAAACATGGACATCTTGAAGAACAAGGAGGCGTCATGTACATGATCAACAACGAAGCGACAATTTCGTACCGACATTGAACCCATCAGCAACAGCAGAAGCAGCATCGCATTCCACACCGAATGACATGTTGAACGAGCGATGCCTATTTTGTGTTCAGCCATATCAAAAAGATGGATCAGCATGCTTTCTACATTGATGAATACGACACCACAAGAGGATACATATGGTTCAAGGTCGTTGTGCATGAACTGCAGGGTCGGCCATCCGAGGCTGGAATGACGAATATGGAAAATGCTCGCTTTGTTTACAGCCCATGATCCCACTTTTTACTCTCGCAGCATTCTTCCATGAAGGCGAATTCAACAATGATACCAGCAAATGATGATAAACGACGATGATGGATGACGTGAGTTGATTCTCCCAAAAGAGAGGATTGGATGATGATGAAACACTAATTGGGATCAGCTGATCACGTGCAAGTAGTACATCAATGCATGCAGCCCAACCTAAGCGACTCAATCAAGAATACCAGAAGCCTTCCAACGTATGCTGCTACAACATATCAAGGACCGGAGGAGGAGTATGACCTATTCGTTGTGTATTGTAAGTCATGTTGCCAATGAATAGCATCCTTATCCACCACTAATACTATACCCATTTCATTATCAGCCTAAATATGTCTTATACGGGTCATGCATTCCGAGAGTCAACAAATGCCAACCATTCTGTGTCACGCGCTGGTTCCCTTTTTGAGTCATTGACCGGAAACTGAAAAAGGGCGCATTGCATCAGCCAACTCAGCATCTATCTTTCTCTCTCACTCACACACACACAACACCTCCTGTCTCTTCTTTCACTTTCCTCTTTTTTTCTTGTATATAAACCGCAGCACACACACTTTTCTCTTCACACATACACATACATGGATAAGAAAGCAGAATTACCACCTCCACCTGTTATTGCTTGGCAGCATACCAATGAGACACACAAACGATGGACATGGGTGCGTCGCTTTATTGCCGTCTTGGTTGTCTTGGCTGTAGTCATGCACTGTACAGCTCCACGTGCTCGCCTTTCACAACTCTGGAAACATACCTACAGCAACGACAAGGAGCCACAACTAGTGCTTCATACGGGTTTCCCAGTCCCTGATGCTGTCGTTGGCCAAACCATTCAACCCAAGGGATATTCAGCTGCGATGGCGTTTGCACCTGTAGACACATCCTCCTCCTCTTTGACAGTACAAAACAAGGAAAGCTGGTGGGACCGTATTTTCTCATGGCGTCATGTCCACTTGGCATCTGTTCAGTTGGCTGTCACAAGCCCTGGTCCCCTCGATCACGTACGCGCTACCATTTCTATTTGCACATCCACTCATGACGACCTATGGCAATCCATCCCAGATGCAACAAAGTGCATAGCATCCACAATGCGTGGTGTTGATGAAGGCACAGCACCCGATGAACCTCTTGGCATTATCACCTGGAATCCTGTACAAGAAGAAAAAGATGCTATCGTGCTCAAAAAGAACAAAGTCTACTGGTTGGTCGTGGAAGCTCCCCCTGGTGCTGATGCATTTGAATGGGCTCTTGCACAAATCTCTGGTGGTGTCGGTGCTCATCAAGGTGTCGCCTTGGAAACTCCCGAACGCGGTTGGCAGCTGCAAAATGCCGATGATGATGACGCACCTATTCCAAGTGTAATGTTATCTGTAGTTCCCCATTAGTTATAGTTGTTGTAGCTTGTAGCAATGCGTGTTTTCTTTCGTTTCAACTAAAGTTGAGGATATCTCCATGACAACAAAGTACTACATATGTGCGGAGCAAAATGGGATAATCGATCCGATGACATTTCAGTATGACATTGCGCATATACTCTCACGCCCCCTTAAAGCATCCCATCATCCTATTATACAGCTTCATTCATCATTCAACATGGTGATCGCCGAAAAGGTTATTACTGCCACCGTTGTATCATTTATTATAGGCTTGTTTAGAAAGTCTTTTGCATATTAGCTATACTATTATTACTAGAATAAGTTGTAAGAAGGGATGCTTGATAAAGGAATGGAGGAGAAGAATCGCCGATCTCATACGTCATTTCTTGATGATATTATGGCACAAGTAAAATGGCTTGGTATCTATGATCTTCGTTATTGGCTTGCTATTTCAACTCACGAATCATTGTTTACTTACGACCATTATGTGTATGTGCACGCAATGGCCCATCCCAAATACAGTCATCTTTGTGTTCTTTACATCCCTTCTCATTGTGATGGAATTGATTGCAGTCAATGGCGTTGATGACAGAAGATTGGATGAGTACCAGGAATAGGGTAACACTGAATGTAGTAGGAAGAGGACGGAAGAGCATGGTTGTGAATGTTTGTAAACACACACATCTTGTTCGAGCTTCTTATATTTGGGTAAATGGGAATCCTCATCCAAAACAAGTAAAAGGGCGTATGAAACGCGAGATCTGGATCTTGGTATACAGTAAGGTCACATCACCACCCCGTTCAATGGTAAGTCGCATGTGTGTCTCAGGGGCAGATAAGATCATTTTGGATGCGTTTGACTTTTTACATTTACATTAACATCTACAAGATGATGTTACCCCTATGGTGTCAAATTTTATCGATTCGGGATATGGTTATTATGATCGATCGGCCAAAGACTATTTTGTGCCGTAGTTGTTGACACGCTGCTCATCCGGAAATGCCATGCAATCTATATTGTATTTGTGCAAGATGATACTTTGAAGTATACAACCCCCATATCCTAGGGACCCATGATGCGCTGCCGGATCTCCTTTCTTCTTCAAGCTTCTTCTTGTACAGTAGTCAAATTCATTGCTGCTAGCAGGAACCCATCATCTTTCATTGCTGCAATATGATGATCAATGAAAGGAGTGGGTGTACAGTATTCTCTTTATTTGCCCTTCCAAATTCTCAAAGCAACACTCAAAGGAGGCAATTACCTTTCGCGCGGCATTGCAGGTTCGTCTCCACACCATGTTTCCTTGGTTTTACAATGCACTCATAATAACGTTGTTCGATAATACAGTCTTTCCCCCTCTTCCCCCCTTTTGTGGCATAAAGTGCCAGAGATTTGGGTTGCTATTTGTGTCGCCATGGCAACGCCCCTGCTATGTAGATCAAGACCCAACGTTTATAATGGCTCCATTGGAGGCACACACATACGCATGCAAGGATGATAATCCCCTTTACAGCCTCAATTGCTATCATCCTTGTATCAGCAGCAACTGGTATAAAGGAAGACCAATGCAATGGAAAAACGTATCCCTTTTGGAAAGAGCGTGCATCCATGTTTTTTTCTTAGATTTCTCCAAGGATGTGCACATCCCCTTCCTCCTTTTTCTGCATCCCCACACTGAAAACAAAGAAAATGTGGTGCAGCTAAGCCTTGCAATGGCTGTAGGGAATTACTTTCTACATACCCTGGGTTTGTCTGTGGATTTAATGGTATACTGGGGGTTAAATGGGCAAGGGGCAACCTTCCTTTTCTTGTCATCTCCACAATATCCTTCCCAAAAAGAAAGCGTCGTCCATACACTCACTCCAATTTTTCAGGTGGATCACAAAAACAGCGAGCTGCTTGCTTCATCATTCTATCTCGACCATTCTTCATGACACACTGAAGGTCAATAGTCATGTAAGGAACGATGGTGTATGATATTAAATTCATCATAAAGTGAGTCACCTTCACTGGGATCGGTCACGATCGACTTCATATTTTGACACAAGATCGCTTTCACCCCGCCGAGCAGCTTTGTTCTATTAAAGACCCCACGTTTGATTGTAAAGTTTAGAGATACAGGCACCTTTATGTTTTACGTATGCTGTAAGCGTGATGGTATATGAAAGATGGTCTTTGTTCATTGCCAAGTAGTATGACTATAATAGAGCTAAAGATGCAGAGGGGCGTGTTTGTGTAACCCAGCAGTTTTGCATGACTGGAAAGGTTAATGCATGAGGCTTTATACACTACGCAGTAACTCATCATTGGTAGCTAATAGCCACTTCCTCCCATTCACCTTTTGTATCCACTCCAATGCATGTGAACGATTGTCCTGCTCCAGCCCAGCATGCCCATCATTCAACTTTCTTGATCCGAAAGGTTTGACTGAGTATCGCTCAAACACAGAAGTATCATCTAATATCAGAAGAATCATTTTGCAAACTTATTTGTACACTGCCAGCTAGCAGTCCATTCCTCTCATTCAGCTTTGTTGCCCAATCCAATGCATACGAACGATTGTCCTGCTTCAGCCCATCGTCTCAATCCTTCAACTTTCTTGATCCGAGGGTATTTGACTGAGCAATGCACACACAAAGAAACATCATTCAACACCAAGAAGTCTACTTAATTTCCAGCTCTTCCGCTCCCCACTTCTTGTCTCTTCCTCCCATTCTCAATTGCTCGTCCATTAAAGTGCTGCCACCATCTCTAAACGATTGTCCTGTCTCAACCCATCATGTCAATCCTACGATTGTCTTGATCCGATTGTCTTTGACTGGAGGGCAAGTTCATGGCTGCACGCAGCCTTCTTGTCACTCTTCTACAACACACGAGTCTCTTGACACAACACACACTCTTGTACACTCCTCTACCACGATCAATCGTAACAGCATTTACTCCAGCAATTGCTACGAGCAAGGTCTTCATCGTCTCCAACAGCGTTCTTTACTTGCAGCAACCTGTCTTACAGCCTTTTCACGTGAACAGCAGATAGCTAGTATATGCAGGCAGCTTTATTTCCGTGTAGCAACTTGTTTTCAATACATACGATTTGTCTATGGATATGGATATGGATATGGTGGATGGGATGGAAGGAATTGGATATATACAGCGCGTGGAAAATGAGCCTTGTTCTTATGCATTCATGCGTGATGCCATTATCCTCAACGATTGATGCATCCAATCACCGTATTTACACGCTATCCCATGAAAGCTACTATTATCATCCTTCGCGCAACCTCTCAACCAAGTACAACCATCATCATGCAACTGCATATTTTGACATGTCATTGGTATGATTTTTGCGACCACGAATCAAGAGCCACTTCACACCGAAGAATAGAAACGTTCCACATCGATGTATCTCCCCCTCCATTAAAACAATTCATTGTACGTCTCAATCTATCTCTTCTTGTGAATGATGTTGGATCAAAAGGCTACATTGGCGAGTACAGCATCACGTTGTCCACCAACCATTTCTCGGTTTCTATTGTGTATATAAGAGGACTTCATTGTATGATAGTAAGATTTTGGTATGGGATATACAGGACTGTTGAAGGATATCCACATATGAATGCTGTGATAAGGAAAAAAGAGAGGAAGAGAAAGGGTCTTCTTGATTGATTCGTTGTGTCTTGAACAAAGGCTGTACTCGGTAGTATAGTTCATCCCCTTCCCTTCCCTTGTGATTTCGACGCAAGAGAGTAAATCAGAGAATGACGTTGTGCTATTTTCAGGAACGACAAATAAAGGTACACATACGGAATGATTGTAGGTCATTGCAGCTTGGATAGCTTTCATCGAACGAATTTGCTCGTTGCCAGGGTTGTTGGCTATGCATGATAATGCACACGAGCTTCTTGGTGTTGTGTAAAGCCTCATTTGACATGGTGATAATGTACATGTAATGACCATTTTACCTTCTTTGAAGCAAATCATCGCCATTTGTCTTACATGCTGAGGATTAGGATTGTATGCTATATGCGTAGATTTTCTTCATGTTTATTCATCACAATGCCATAGTAAGCTACTTGTCCAAGGTCATTCAATGGATGTGATACCATCAATCAGACAGGGTTCACGTAAGTGAAAAGTAGTAACAACAGCGAACAGCTCAAATCTGCATCTTTTGGTTCAAGTTTCTGTAAAATTCTACAGGGGTAAGCAATCCTGGGCAGCAGCAAGGTTTCGTAACTAATGATGAGCAGTAACAGCATGAGTAATAGAACAAGAAGAAATGCAACATGCGTTGTTAATGCTTACGCTGAACGTATTTTTCTTGGCCGTCAAGTTTGTATACCATGTTATGGATATCCGTTGCACCTGGTCCTGGCCAGTAATACTTTGATCGACAATATCGGGTACTTGCACTGTGCCCATAGCAGCCACCATTGATCCATTCACAATTCGAAACCTCCTCGTATACGATGCCAGGCTTATCTTCGCAAAGACCTTCATTGTTGGCACTCGTAGTCCATTGGCAGTGACCTTCGTTTTTACAGCTAGCTTCATTGCTTGAAAGCTCTTTGCACCAAGGAACAAGTTGGAACAACCCATGATGAACCTTGGTTGGATGCGTACTTGTCGTTGGAGTAGATGAAGATGTAGGAGGAGCAGCAGCAGCAGCTTGCAAAAGAGTTGACAATGTTGCGATTGCAATAAGCGAGCAAACGAAAAGGTAATTCATCCTGCTGACATGAAATGGGATGACATGGATTACCCAAGTGTCTTCATTTATATATCGTAGAAGCATGCATGGATCATGCAGGAACACGCTTTGGCGTTAGAGTATTCAAACAAGATTACGAATTCAGATGCTGCAAACACACGTGTGGCCAATGCTTTCCTTTCAACGTAAAGATTGCTTCTTTGCTGTGTGCATATTAAGACATCATCGGGACCTCCACAATTTCATTTCAGGTTTCATTTGTAGTTGAGCTTGAGACACCTTTGGTTTAATGTCCCATACTACGTACACCATGTTTTTCTATTTCACGTACAAGCATTACTAGTACCGGTCAATAAGCCCCTTAAAGTCACACCTGCATGATGATACAGCAAGCTCCTTGATGCGAAACCTTTATCATTCATGGTGATGGTCCCTATGATTATCCATGAGATATTATTACATGCCATGAGTGGACCAGTGTGTGGTAAAATGCCCAGCCAGAATATTGTACCATACGCATTACAACATAATTGGTTAAGGATTGGCTGGTAGATTGTAGACCCTTTGATGATTAAAGTTTTTACGATATGGCTTGCGTGTGGTCCAGGGATCAAAAGGAGTCAATATCTATATATGTTGCTGGCCCAATAATCGTGATAACTATCATGCTTCAAAGGCGACGATCGCATATCTCCTAAAATAGACACACCAATAGCATAGAATACGCGTGGATCTGATATTCGTTTGATTGGCCTTATACCATGTTACATACAAAATAAGAATGCACTTTTGGTTGTAATAAATGCCCATTTATATTAGGAGAACAAGCTATGGCTAATGATAATGTATAGTGATTGTGGGTGTGAGAGTGCTGATAAAAGGTGGTTGCACTTGAATGGCCAATTCGGTGGGTTTGGCAATAGATGATGCGACACAAAGAAGCGGAGCTCTGATGATTCCACGTCCCAAAGAGTGCCAGCACCTTCTACTCGACTTCCCTCTTTCTTACTCGTCCTTTTTCTACTTGCTCTCATCATGGCTGAATCCGCAACTGCTACCACCACTACCACCACTGCTACTACTCCTCCCGCTACGCTCACTCCTCCTGTCCTTCCATCCCATGTCAAGAAGCCCAATGAAGAAGAACACAAAAAGGCACTCGCCGAAGTGAACGCGAGAATCGACAAGCTCCAGAAACAAATGGTAAATTGGATACACGCGCGTGCCCCATCCATCATCTGGAAGAGTATTCCGGTTGCTTATTGTCATTGTAGGATGCTGTCAAGGAAAAGATCAGCAAGTTGCCGGGCAAATCAGACAACACTCGTCGCGAGGAGCTTCGTGCACAACTCGCTGAAGTGCGTGAAAAGCAGGCAGAGATCAAAAAGGGCAAGCAAGCTGTCTATGAACAATTGGATGCCTTGAATGAATCGATTCGCAAAAAGGTAGGTTGATAGAGTTGGGGTGTGTGACATGAGTTGGGCCGTGCGTTGTATCTTACAATGGGGTTGTAGGTTGGCAACATCAAGGGTCTTCAATCCAAGGTACCTTACAAGACTGTTGCTGAAGTCGATGAACGTATCAGGTAAAAAGGAACAAAGATGTAGATGATGATGTCATGTATCTAAAACCTTGTTTATAGTGAATTGGAGGGCAAGATTGAAAGTGGTGTGAGAATCGTGGAGGAAAAGAAGGTAACGAAAGGATCATCACGTGTATAGAGAGAGAGTGAGATAATAACATGTACGATACCTTATAGATGTTGCAAGAAATCTCTCTCTTGAAGCGCAACCGTAATGCTGTCGAGGGATTGGATGAACAGCAAGAGGCCATCAACAAGGAACGTGCCATTTATGATGGTATTCGCAAGAACATTGATACTGAGGAAGCCAAGAAGCTCAGCGAGCAATTTGAAAAGGCCATGGCCGAGCTCAATAAGATCAATGCGGATCAAGCACAACAACGTGAACAACGCAACAAGTTGTATGATGAGCGGACGCGTATCAAGGGTCTTTTGGATGAAGAATACAACCAATTGCGTTCCATGCGTGATGAGCATCGTAAGGCCAACGACGAGTACTACACATTCATTCGTCAATTGCGTGAATACAAGCGAGAACAAGAGAAGGTGCGCAAGGCTCAAGAGGAAGAAGAAAAGCGTAAGGAGGCTGCCAAGCAGGAATTGGAACTTGCCTCATTGCCTGCTTTTGAGCATGAAATTACCTTGTGTGACAACCTTGGCAACTTTTTGCAAAGCTTTTTGAACAAGGGCGAGACCAATGGCAATGCTGCTACTGCTGCTGCAAACAATGAAGAGGATGCCAAGAATGCTGCTGCAGGTGGTGGTGGTCGTACCATTGAAGCTCCTGATGGTGTTGCTCTCGTCAAGAAATCCGATCGTGAAGAGAACTACTTTGTTGGTGGTGGCAAAAAGAAGGGCAAGGGTGGCTCAAAGAAGAATGCCAATGCTGCATCCAGTGGTGCTACGCCTGTCTCGGATACGCTCAAGTTGCCCCTTGCTACCATGGAAGGTTTCTTTGAAGTCAAGGTCACTGTTCCCACCAAGATCTCGGATATCCCATCGACTCTTGAAAAGTTGCAAGAACGTAAGGCGTACTATTTGGCTGAACAACCCCGTGTCACTGAAGAGAACAAGAAGAAGGCCCAAGAAAAGATCGATGCCATGTTGAAGGCATAAAGGAGATATACATTTTGGGAGAGGAACTATTTACATAACAATAGACGGATAGAAGGATGGTAACAATGACCTTAGTTTTGATAAAAAAAAGTATATATCCATTTCATTCTTTTACACATTTGGCAAATGGATTAGGGGGTTGTAATTCTTCTATGGACCATTCTGGTAACACTACCAAATCATCGTCCTCATCTTCATCTTCACTATTGTATGCTGTCGTACTTTCGCTGTTGTTGGCTGTTGTGCTTGTTGACGATGAATCGGCCCCATTGCCATTATTGGATTGTTGTTGTTGTTGCTTACCATTGTGGAGGCATCCAAATAAGCCTTCTTCATGCCCTGGTAACTCATCTTTTGTAGGTGATGATGCCACAGCCGGCGCTTGCTTGTCATCTTCTTCCAACACCAAAAATGATTTTTGCCGCATACGCACATTCCATTGTAAAGAGCATTGAAGTGAATGAAACCAGTCGCATGTGGAACCCGTACGTGCAACTGTTGTGAGTGGGTTTTGAGATGCAGTGATTTTGACGTGGTCACCCGCTGTAAATGATGTTGAGGAGGGGAAATGATCAGCTGACCAATGTCAAATCCACATGGCACATGTTATACTTACGTTTCAACTCAACCCGATTACGGCCATCAAAGCTGCAATAGGCTGATCGTACACTACCAAAAGGTACAACAACACGAATGACCATTGTCTCTGGCAAAAGCATGGGTCTAAAGCTAAGAGTGTGTGGGCAAATGGGAGTCACCAAGGTTGCACGTACTTCGGGATGGGTCAAGGAACCACCAGCAGAAAGCTAAAGAATTTGTGAATATGCATACAAAGATTTTATACATGACATCCATACCGAGTAAGCAGTGGAGCCTGTGGGTGTAGCAATGACAATACCATCCGCTTGTACGGTTGTCAAATGACGTTCATCACCAAATAATTCCAACACGGACATGTACGCGCTTGGACCACGGTCCACCACAATTTCATTAAGGACTTCATAGGTTGCACAGGGAGCTGCAGTATAACACGGGATCTCTTTGCTCACTGCATCACGCTCAGGCTCACTTAGATTACGTGATTCGATTTTGAGCTGCTTTTTCATCCAAGTTGTCTCTATATGAGCGAGTTGGCATGCTTGCAAAATGGATTCTGATTGACGTCTTCGTTCACATGCACTATTATCTTGCTGATGCCGGTAGATGGTACAGCTTAGACGCATACGTGCCGTAGTCCTATACCCTTGTTCAAAGACTTCCTTGAACGTCTCACGGTGATCATGATATGGATACGTTGCAAGGAAATTCAACGAGCCCAAATGAAAAGAAAGAATCGGTGGGACGTAGGATTGGAACAACCATGATGTAAATAGCACCGTGCCATCACCACCAAGCTACACACATGCACGTATTGGTTGGTATCTTTTACCTCTTTGCCTCATCCACAACTTACCGTAAGGATCAAGTGAAACATCCTGGGGTTTTCATGCAGCAAGGTGGGTGTCCAAAACTTGAGATTCTTTTTGATGAGTGGGTTGACTTGAGCCATTTCATGGTATCGAAAGCATTTTACATGCTCCAAATGAGCATCCACATAGCTTAAAAAGATCGGCGTTGAGAACCATGGTAGCATAAAAAATGAACGCACAGACATTTGCTTACACTGTAAATGGATCTTGTTTGCCGAATCGGGGTGTGCAAATCAACCATTCAGTCAACCTTCTTGTCATTCTTAGGAGCTTTTTGTCGCCTGCTTTGGTTATGATGACCAGTTTGTTTTGATTCGGATCCCATTTTTGGAGCACTGGTGCATGTTGATGAATAAGGATACAATAGCACAACACCACTTTTTCGAGACTTACTTGATTCAAAGTGCTCGGGATGTATAGGTGAAGATATGGGTGGTGAATGTACACTTGATTGACGACGTGGACGTGGTATATCTGTGTTGAGATCAGGCATAATGATAAAGATGTAAAGAATAGGAAAAGGTATTCATGCAAGGGATTGATGGGATGAAGGAAGGGAAAAATGGTCAGCCGTGTGACGGGAATTAAAGTTGACCTATCATATCGGATTGGTCCCCGGTTGGTTCTCGACAGCCCAACTCCATCACTCATTTATCTTTCCTTTTACCAACCATGTGAAAGGAAATCTTTTTGTACCTTTTTCTTCCCCGCATTCTTTCTTTAACTTTTTCACTCCAATACGACATGCCAGCAGACGTCAAAGAACCTTTGAACCCACTCGCCATTGCGAAGCTCCTTGGTCCTAATACGCCCACGCTTGACCATTTTATTCGATTCTTCAGCACCGTGCGTGGCACTGATAAAGTGCTCATGGTAATTAAAAGGATGATGACATTGTGGATATCAGCACATGCCAACGCAACGTTACTAGTTTATCTCATATTGGTCCAAGGTGGTGATTTGGTTCTTGCAACGTCGTGGCGTTGATCCCAAGATTGCTATGCGTATCCAAAACTTGGCTGGACCTGCTAGTGATTTCCGCATGTTGCTACGTTACTATGGTTTGTTGCCCATGATCCAGTATATGAAATACCTCGAATACAACAAACCTCCAAGCAAATTGACGCTGCATGTGGAGCGCATTCAAAACTTGTCAATGCTCTTTTACTACCCACTCGAACACTTGTATTGGCTTGGTGCCCATCAAATTGTCCCCATGACTGAAAGCAAGGCCAACAAGATTAGTGTATGGAGTTGTCGTGCTTGGGCCGTGTGGGTGATTCTTGAATTTGTTCGTCTTGGTGAGCAATATCGTGTGCTCAAGCACCGTGAAACAGGCTTGTTGAAGCGCATCAAGGCCGGTGATATTGAATCAGATGAGGATCCAGAAGCTGAAATGGCTAGTATGAAGGCTGAACGGTCATCCATCTTTGTCAACACCATGATGAACATTGGGTAAGCATTGGGGCGTTGGGTGGGAGGGAGAAATGAAGATCCATTGGCACTTGATACTTACTCATCGGTAACCTTTTCAAACCCAGTTATTTCCCTCTTACGTTGCATTGGTCTCGTGAAGCCGGCCTCATTCCGGATGTCGTTGTTGGCATGTGCGGTGGTTTTGCCTCTCTTTTCCAACTCTATGCCGCCTGGCGCGACACTGCTTAATTGTTAAATCATGATCATGTGTGTACAGTATCCTCTTTATATGTGTATTCCCTTCACTGTTATCCTCCAATCCCCTCCACTTGCCACTTTTAGAACATAAAAAATATACTCACCTAGGGCGAATCCCGCTATATTTTTCATCCGTCCGCTCATTGTTTTGCATCCAAGACATACACTCACATGCTTTTTCGTTCCAACACAATGAACATTTATGCTCTACCATTGTCATGTCGTACGGCAGCAACGTGTTTTTTGGCGGGGAATGGAGTTCACGTGATCACAACAAGCAACAATCTTGTTCATTGATACCGGCTCATGTCATGATCAGCAATGCAAAATGATATGTATATATATATTACGATGACTTTTTGTAGATGGGGGAGGTGAACAAATCAAGCTACCTTATGATCTAAGATGGGTGGTATAATAAAAGGCGTATCATGCTGTGAAGGATAAGGCGATCATGTTTTAGGTTTTCTTGGTGGGCAATCTTGGATAGTGATCGTCGTTTGCCGTGGTGGTGGTGGTGGTGGTGGTGGTGGTGATGATGATGCTTCTACTGTTGTAATTTCATCAATGTCCGTGTTTGATCTTTCATCGGTGGTGGCCCCAACATCTGTAGTTGAGTCGCATTGTTTGCTTGTTGTTGTAGGAATAGCAGCCTTTCCTGATAACCCAAGAGCTTGTTTTTCCAAATCCATGAGGACATTCTTTTTGCCTTGTTGGGTCATCCATGTGTTACCATTGCCATCGACTGCTGTAGTGGCAATACTTTCGAGATCGGTTCGGCTCAAATCATTACGTTTCAAGGAAAACAAATCGGATGCACGTCGTTCGCCACGACATAGTTGCCAAAGGACACGTGTTCCTACCCACACTGGAATCGAAAAACCATGCACAACCACAGATGCCAATACAATAAAGTAGACGACAGGCAAAAGTGTCGCTCGTGCATATGCAAATGGGCCATCGGGTGTAAAGATATCGGTTGCCGTTGCATAATAAAAGATCTAATAATAAACCATTGACATGATGAGTGATGCATTGGGGGGGGGCATGAATTTTGTAACAACATACAGCTCCCACACCAATGGGTCCAAACCAGCCTGTGAATAAAGCCTCCTGCCAGTCGTAAATGGCAGGGACAAATTTGTACAAGAGCAAGGTGGATGGTACACGTCGTAAAAGGATAACGAGGATTGCCAACACAAAAAGGCGCCACAAGGATAGATCCACAAAGGCTTGCCATGGCTATGCATCATACGAGTTAATGATTTCGGAGGGGATGATTGTGTGTGTGTGTTCATGGCTTACCATAGTTGCCCCAATATAAGTAAAGATGATGACATTTAAAAGTGGATCGAGCACCTGATATCCACGTCAGTAAAAGATCATGATACCATTACAACGCATATACCTGCAGAAAATGTGAATTGCGAGTGTGTCGACTAAACCATTCATCCCATGAGAGTGCAACACCAGCTGTAAAGCACGCTAACAAGTCATCGCTCGTCACGAGGGACACGACACCGAGCAAAAATAGCTATACGTAATAGGACAATCAGCTACCAAGATATTGTAGTAGATGATCTTTTGGGATGTACTTACACCCATGGCAAAGCCTACAAGCTCAAGCCACTCCTTATCAATGAGGTTCCTAAAGATAAATAGACATGCATGTTGCAAGCAGATTAGGAATGTGCTATTGGAACCAACAACCGATCGACATACCATTCATGACACTTTTTGAGCAAAAGACGTGCACCTGTACCAAGCACAGCGCCTATAGCAACCGAGAGCAATACACCACGCAACACAGCTTGTATGACCCATTCTTTAACGACATCACCACCCGATAATTTCATCAAGTAGACGGCTAAAAAGAGAAAAGGGTAACCAAGACCATCGTTGGCAGCGCTAAGTAAATAAGAGTAATCTGTGATCAGTAAAGTAAAAGACCAAGATACACAATGAACGTACCTTTCAGCAGCAATGAGATATCGAATGCCAGCACGTACGTTACGTTCAGCGTATGGGCCTTGTACAATGGCGTTCGATAATACAGGATCCGTTGGCGTGAAACAGGCGGCGATCATAAGTGCTGCTAGCTATGTACATAGTTCGTTGTTGGTAGATTAGTTTTTGCATCTATCAAGGGGGGGGAGGGGAAATGATAGCGGTGGCTAAAAGGGAATTGCACTTACAAAATCCATTCCAGGCACCAAGGCTTCTACTAAAGCTGCACTTACTACCCACATAAGCGACATGCCTGCTAGTAGAATAAGGAGCATAGATAGCCATTCATCCCAAATGTATCGGTTCGGTAATGTAAGGCCCACAGCCATCACCTTATCAGTTGTCATCATCAGTATCCATCCATGTGGTGGTGTCGAAAATGGTGAGTGGTTGGTTACCTGCAAATCGATGATCACTCGGCTGATACCCAAGGTAAAGCTTTCTTGTTCTTCTGCCGTTGCAAAGGAGATAAAGTTTGCACATGCAGGACCCAACAAGATACCAAAAGCAACTGCAATGGCTATACTCTCTTGTTATTAATATTGAGGAACATGGAATGCATCGATTTCTCTCTCTTTTTTTACATACGTGCTTCTGAAAGACATAGCCTCTCTTTAAGGAAAGAGGAGCACAGACCAAATACCAAAATAAATCCACCGAGGAAAGTAGCAATAATCGAGAGATCCATTATCAGGGAAAGAGGAGGAGGAGATTATTATATGAAGTAGGTTGTTGTATGTACAAAGAAGGAATGTGGAGAAAGAAGGGTAATTTGATAAGAGAAAAAGTTATCCACAATGATGCAAGAAGATAGGAATGTACAGGCGCTCACAATTAAAAGTGAGTAAGGGTTCTTGCAATGGTATAAGAGGTGGTTGGTGATGATGAAAAAGGTCCAGTTACTTTAAAGGATGGTGGTGGTCGTCGTCGTTATTTGATGATGTGACGGGATTCCGACAATCCGATCATCGTCCCTTTTTGTACGAGTGCGCGAATTATGCCAGTGGGGCATGTCAATCCATAGTGCGTTGAACAAGCCGTGGCATTACGCATCTGGCTAAAGAAAGTTTCTGCCCCCAACACCCCCTTATCCTTATGCACGCATTGGACCTTATCCATTGTATTGAATGACCGTAGGTGTATCATCATCATCATCTAATAGCGAGAGTCATGCGTTTGTTTTCTCTTTATGAGTGTGATCGTATCAGCAGATTTGTACCAAAAACTTTTATTTACCGCAAAAAGCACTCTAGAAGCAGATGGCTCAAATTTACCTGCAAAGGCAATAAGCCTTCAACACCATGAGCGGAGAAACTCCCATTTGGGGTGAAAATGATCATTTTCCCATGGTGGCGCGCGCGCGCGAGCGAGAGAGCAGGTTCCGGGAAAAGTTGTGCCTTCTTTGTTTTCACATCAAGAATAAACATTTTGATTCAAGCTACTACTAACTACCTAGGACGTTCATCTCCACACACATACATAAGCTTATATCCGTTACACACATAATGGATCATTCTTTTATTGTAGTACGTATATCTATATGCTATCCTTTCTCTACCTTACCCAATCGCATCCAGTACCCACCTAATCATTGTGTTATCCCGAAGATCTGAAAGAAAGAATGGAAGAACCTGAAACGAGATCATGTTTGTGTGCACAGATGCACCCTGAAATGTTTGTGTCCACCAACATGTGATGCTGTTGATCCAAGCGCTGCTGTGTAGTGTTGGACATTCTAGATTTCCCCGTCATTGTTATAAAAGTTACACCTTCTTCACCATGCGAGAAGCAAAACAAGATAAACAATGCCGTTTTCCCAATCATCCATGATCAATCAAACAAGAGCTGTGTGTGTGTGTGTGTGTGTGTGTTTCTCGAATCAAAACGTGGGACAGCAGTAGCAGTAGCAGCAGCAGTTGCCATAGCGACAGAGACACATAGAGAGAGAGTCAATGTTTCAAGCCAATAATTCTTTATATGTCCATTGTCATCATCATCAGCGAAAATCTCCATCTCGACGATACATAGGTCTGTATGGGCCATTACGACCCCGTTCTAAACGTCGAGGAGGTGGTCTATCCACAAGGCGTCTTTCATCGGGCCGACGTAAGGGTGGATATTGGCGTGGTGGTGATGGTGGCATAGGTGGCGGTGGATGATGATGATGATGGTGGTGGTTATATCCATTGGTACGTGGTGGATGATCATAGCCAGCTTGTTGACGAGGTCGATCATAATAGCTGTCAGGTGGATAATCATGGTGATACCCATTAAGATGATGATGATGCTGTCGTCTTGGTGGTGGTGGTGGTGGTGGCAAAGGCATATCACGTGGCCGAGAAAGAGGTGGTAAGGGTGGTAAAGGTGATCGTGCACGTTGTCGATTTTTGGGCCAATCTCTTCGCTCTGCTTGTTTTGGATAAGGTTGTCGCTCTCTACTAATACTACGACGTCGTGTATCTCCTTGAATAACCCTGCGAGAACGATTCTGCCATGATGATGATGATGCTGATTCTGGAAAACGAGGAGGTGGAGTAGGTGAGCGATGTCGATAATTCAATGGTTCCCGATTGCTACCGCTACGTGGCACAATGGCTTGTTGTGGTGGTAATGGTTGATGATCCTTATGCCGGCTGTATCCATGGTGATTATCTCTTGAGAATCTTCTTGGTGCTGAAGGTGCTGAAGGTGGTGCTACTGCTGCTTCTGATGATGATGATGCTGGTGGTGGTGGTCGTGGTGGTGGAGATGTTGAACGTTGTGTAGGACGTTGTTCTTGATCCCTTCCTCTACCTCTTCCTGTTCCTCCTCCTCCAACTCTGATATTGTTGCTACTACTCACTGGTGGTCTTGACCTAGCACGCTGCTCTGACATACGACGATCATTATCCATTCTGGGCCGTTTGTACTGCTGTGGTGGTGGTTGTTGCTCTCTTTCCATCCTTTCCTTTTCACGCACACGCCTTTCTTGCTGCTCCTTTAATTCATCCAAACGTCGCTGATGCTTGAGTTCTTGTTCACGTAACATGTCCTGTTGCTTTGTTGATGACTCAACATCATTTACTTGGCGTTCCTTTTCCTGTCGATGAGGATCTGATTCACCAAAGATGGCTTCCTCTTCTTCTTCATCAGCTTCAAGAGAGATCACAATATCATCGGCTGAGCGTTCACTTGGTAAAGGTGCTTCTTCTGCTGTTGCAGCTGATTGTGGGGGTGGTGAAGGTGGTAGAGGTGGTGGTGAGGGAGAGCGTGGCGGCGACTTTGGAGGAGCTGTTGACTCATGATGGCTGTCTGCCATTGTTCGATCGCTAGAAGGAGCCGGGAATGCAAGAGTTGTGCATTTCATCCGTCAGCAACGTGCGGCACAACAACGAGACAAAAAAAGATGGGCACCAGTAACTGATGCATCTTTTAAACATGTTCAAACCTTGTTGGTGAAGAATGACGTGGTAACGGTGGTGGTGGACGTCGATTGTTGTTACGTTTGTATTCCACGTTCCTCTTATCGTAAGGTCGCTTAGGTTGACGGTCTCGTTTGTATCGGTCCATGAGAAGGAAACAAGAAGAAAAAAAGTATTGCTTGGAAGAGTGGGAGAGAAAAAGAGAGATGCCAGAAGATGAAAACGATCCATTCGCTGAGCCCCAAAGGCACCACTTGGCTTTTTCGTTTGATTGGATGACAATGTCCACTGCTGTTGCTGCGCACCATGTCACCAGAAGATCCAATACAAGCCCAATAAAACTATCATTTTCAACTTTGTATGTATACAGTTGTGCTGGTTGAGCTTAGTTCTAGATGTGTGATAATGTATTTGACAAGGTTGCATTAAAGTAGTGATAAGCTATACAACGAGAAGTCGAAGTTTACGAGCGATGGCAGTTTGATCCTATATCCCCACTTTATTGATCTTTCATGTGCACTATAAACGAACACTGCTTCTATCACATTCACGATTCAAATGACATGGGGGTCATGTTTACAGGTGCACTATCTTCCTTCAAGGATGACAAAGACTACGCCAAAATATGACATCCATGTATATATCATTACCACTCTCATGGCTTATTACCCTCCAACAACACGCTACAAATTCTTTACTCGCTACCACGTGAAAAAGGCCGGTCATAACGAGATGCCATTTTTTGCACACACAACAACAGGGGGCGGATGTAGCTAATCAACAACAAAGAGCAGCCTTAATGACACCCTAGTTATTTCCCTTAAGAGAGAGATTATATATCATTTTCTTTTGGTTTGATAAAAAAATAGAGATATTGGAGGAGTGAGGATGCTGTGTAATCCGCATTGAGTTGCCAAGTAAAACTTGGTCTCGCGTATTGCACTTCATAACAAAACACCAGGGGGGAAGATTTTCAATAACCCGCAAGCCCCATATCCTAAAGAGAATCCGAAGACGCTCTCATCGTTGGCATAAGGACAAGCAGGCCATGGTTGTCTGGTACCCCTACCACACCCTTTCGAGTGCTGCCTACCAAAAGCATTGTCAGGCTATTCGCGGACTTTCCCACGGGCGATAAAGAAGAGTAGAGAATACCACAAAAGCAGCATCTCACCGTATGTTGACCCGTAAACGCAAGCAAGCAACCTCACTCCAAGAGAAAAGAAGAAAAATTTTTTGCGCGCCTTTGAAAGCTGACCTTTTATACCTTATTCAAAAGGCCGTCACCCGGCATAACCAATGATAGCCCTTGGATTTTGTCAGCCCAGCTGCAAGCCATCGGGAAAACAATACCCACTTTTTTTTCGAGATGCAACAAAAGCAAGGATTGGTTCCTGAATGTCTACCTATGGTCTTGATGAAGACATACACATTGAATCGTATCATGATGTCTTTTGTGACAAAGGTTGTTTGTCAATGCCATGATGTGTGTATAAAATAACAAACATGCAGAATGTGTGTGTGTGTGTAACACGTTTCCTTTGACAGATTTAAGCGATTCATCTGCCGACGACGACGACACACGATGGTGTCCCATTTTCAGCACACCAATTTACGTCCGAGAGACCGGAAAACATGGCCGAGCTACTGATTATCATCTAACACAATGAGAGCGGAGCGATCATTCATCTCCACACCCACACTCAAAAAGGATTCGGATATGGTAAAAAAGAAAAACTCTACTTCTTTTCCACACATCATGCACTTGAACCCCACAAGCACACTTTCTTATTGGCTTACCAATGCTCCTTTTCAACAACCTACCAAAGAACCCTTGCCGGACAAGGCTGACATTGTCATTATAGGAGGTATTGCAATTTTGTTGTCATGGTGAACGTTGCTATGTTGAATGTTTTGTGATGCTCATCGTATATCCATAGCTGGTCTTACTGGCATGTCGACTGCCTATTGGTTGCAACAGCTACGTCCTGAACTTAAGGTGGTTGTAGTGGAGGCTCGTGGTATTTCAAGTGGTGCCACAGGTCGAAATGGTATGTTGTCGTGAGATCTCGATCTCTCGTTGTTGTTGTACTTGGATCCCACGACCCCATGTTTTCTCACGCTGAATTGTAGGTGGTATTATCACCCCTGGATTGAACGATGATTTCGATGCCATTGTCAATAGCTATGGTGTGGATGCTGCACAAAACTTGGTTGAATTTGATTACCGTAACGTGGATGCATTGGCTGAATTTCTCAAACATCATTCGGACAATGACAAGGGCTTTTTTGATCCCGAGATCACGTGGACCAAGGGTACCATTATTGCATGGTCCACAGCCCAAGAAGCTGAAGATAGCTATCCTGGTGCCGTAGCATTGGCTAACAAGATTGAAGATATCCGTGTACTCTCCCCTGAGGAATTACAAAAGATCCCTGGATTGGAATCATTCAAGCATGGTGGTATCCATATCAGAACAACAGCTATCGCATGGGCTGCCAAGATTGTGTTTTGTCTCGCACGCTATCTTCAAAACAAGATTCACATTGCCACACATACTCGCGTTTTATCGGTGGAGGGAAATAAGGTTATCACCAGCCGTGGTACCATCCAAGCCGGTCGTGTTGCCTATTGCACAAATGCTTGGTCAGGTCGTTTGCTTGAAAAGTTGTCGCCTTACATTGTACCTGTACGTAACCAAGTAGTGAGTGCACGTGCTGTTGAAGGTCGTCCTCGTCTTGAACATGTGCTTAGTGCCAACCGGGGGTAAGTAGAACGATGCAGCTGAGACAATGATTTTTAGATTCTCACACACATACACACTTTATTAGTTATCAATACATGTCATTCCGCCCCAATGGTGATATTATCATGGGTGGTATGCGCGATATTGTACCCAGCAAACAAGAATACGAGGACGATGACTCAACGATGAATCTTACTGTGTCACAAGGACTGCGAAAGTTTATGCGTGAGATTGTCCATGTGCCATCAGTTGATAAGGAATGGGTTGGTGTGATGGGTTTCTCACGAGATCGACTCCCTATTGTCGGTAATCTTAAGCCTGTATTGGGTGACAAGGAAGGTAGCAACCAATACATTGCTGCTGGTTTCACCGGTCATGGTAAGTGTCGTGTTGATCCACATCACCACGCTTGGCTAATAAAACATGTATATAGGTATGCCACGTACTTTCCTCTGTGGTCGTGCTCTCGCTCAAATGCTCGCTGATAAGCCATTGGATGATTGGTTCCCTCCAGAGTTTTTGGTCGAACATGAATCTCGTAAGAGCTGGTGGAGTGATAAGAGCAAATTGTAGATATCTTTCCGTATGCTCTAATATATAAAGACGAACATTGTGTATTCCAACATCCTCTCCTTTTACGTTGTTTGTGCAATAAGAAGGGCTTTTATTATCTATCTAATCATCTATTGCAATGATTGGGAGCATCAAGTCATGCGTTGTCAAAGTAAATGTGATTGAATACGACCACCAACGAAGATCATGTCCACGTGATTTGGATTCATGCATCCAATCACAAGTACCAAGGCTGACATAGTATGTAGAATGTCAAGGTATAAAAGCATGTATGCATTCTCTGTCATGAGGATGATCACTTTTGTGAGCCTGATAATAGTCAATGCCGGGAATAAGATGTGGAGTTGGGGGAGGGAGGCTGCATTAGCCTTCCAAATGTGGATAGAGAAATGCTTCGGACGAGACAATACGCAGCTCTTTCCATCCTTTTTCCTTTTCTTTCTCTCTTTCTCTCGCTTTTGATTTTTCTTCACACGCGCGTATTCCACCATGTTCTCTAAACCCAACCCATTCGATGAATCCGTCGGTAAGTTCGAGAATGATGATATCATCAAGGCAATATTAACAAGGCATTTTTATTTCGACTTCTTTTCTATTATCAGCTGCGGCTACAAATGAGAATCTGACATCTGAAAACTGGGAACTCATTCTCGGCATTTGCGACAGAGTATCACGAAGTTCACCGGATAGGTAGGCTATTGCTTGATTGGGAATCCCAAGGATGGCGAGGTGAGGGGGGAAAAGTTCTTGGCATTGATATGTTTCCTCCCATCCTAGTGCTCGTGATTGTGTTTCTGCCGTCGCCAAACGATTCGGAAGCCGCAATGCCAATGTTCAGTTGTATGCACTTGCTGTAAGTAACCGTGGGGCCAAGGATTTGTGTTGTGTGCTATACGTGCCAAGCCCAAACTGACACTTGCTCCTCCTTTTCCCCTCCCTTGGCAGTTGTCGGAAGCTCTCGTCAAGAATTGCGATATCAATGTTCATCGAGAAATCTCATCCCGTGCCTTTACCAATGCACTAAGCAAATTGATCCATGAAAAGGTAAGTTACATTTACAATGAAGGGGATCATGATATTGATAGGATATGTTGTATGTATATATAGACCACCCATGATAGCGTACGCAAACGAGCACTCGAATTTATTCAAATGTGTTCCCAAGAGTTCAGTGCTGATTCAAGTCTCGGTTTGATGAACGAAGTATATCATTCCTTGCGTGCAGAAGGCATCCAATTTCCCAATCCACAGAAACCTAAAAAAGAATATACCCAGGTAAGATTATGGGCATCTCCATTCCTACAATGATCACTAACGCATGACACACCATAGACTGAAATGGATAAGCAAAAGGAAGAAGAAGAACTTCAACTCGCACTTGCTCTTTCTTTATCCGAATCCGAAAACCGATCCACCTACAGAGTAAGTGTGTGTGTGTGTTTACATGGCAAGAGAACAAAAGATCTCATGCCTCAATGTATTTTAGCCATCTGCAGCTACTGCCAAGGCATCATCAACAACACAAGGAGCCGAAGCAAATGCATCCAAGGTATGTATGGATTTGATATGGGAAATGGTGTAGTGTAGAGTCATTGGTTAACCTGTCTTTTTTGCTTTCTAGCCCAAACCTGCACAAGAATCAGCTCCCAAGGTTTCTCGAGTGCGTGCTCTTTATGATTTCACACCAACAGAGCAAGGCGAATTGGGATTCCAAAAGGGTGATATTATTCGCGTGATCGAAAGCGTATATCGTGATTGGTGGAAGGGTGAATTGCGTGGTGAAATGGGTATTTTCCCTGTCAACTATGTGGTAAGTAAAACAAAGGGAATAGGGACATGGTGATGACCACCAGTATGCTAAAGATAGGATGCTTAGGAAAAATTGCATGATCCCACACCAGCTGATTTGATGAAGGAGGCCCAAATGGAAGCTGAAGTGATGGCTGAAATCCAAAACGTTGATCGTTTATTGGACATGCTTGGTCGCATTGATCCACAACGAGATGCCTTCTCGGAGAATGAGGAATTACAGACGCTTTACAACAATACCCTATCCATCAGACCCAAGCTTGTGAGATTGATTGAAAAGTATAGCGTCAAGAAAGGTATGTAAGGTGATGGTCTATTATGGATGATCAATGGCTTACGTGATGATATGATAGATGAACTCGTGGCATTGAATGAGCGATTCCTACATGCACGCACAATGTACGACCGTATGCTTGGCAGTTCAATCGCACAATACACTTCAACAGCTGGAGGTAAAACAAAATGATATAAAACAATGGGTTGATGGAAATGCTTAACATGGGATTTTATAGCACAACCCGATTATCGAATGTCACAACAATATGGTGGTGTGCCTGCCTATGATCCCCAGCAATTCCATCAACAACAACAACAACAACAGCCACCTCAGGCCACGCCTCAAGTGATGCATCAACAAGCTCCTCAGCAACCCTATGGCATGTATCCACCTCAACAACAACAACAGCAATCTCCTCAAGTCCAACAGCAACCTTATGGTGTTTATGACAATTACCAGCAGCAACCACAGCAACAGCAACAGCCTGTTGCTCAACAACCATACCCACCAATGCAACAATCGCCACAACAATCCCAGCAATCAGGAGCTCAACAGCAACCACAACAACCCTACGGCGGTGCATATGATCCATCTATGCAACAGCAACAACAACAGCAACAGCCCTACCCTCCTCAACAGCAACAACAGCAACAACCTTATCCTCCACAACAGCAACAAGCTCCTCCTGCTGCTGCTGCTCCTCAACAACAACAACAGGCTGTTCCTCCTCCACAACAGCAAACACCCATCTCCTACGGTAGTGGTGGTAGCGTACCTACACCTACTGAAACTTATCCAGGATACCAGCAACAATCTTATCCCCCACAAGGTTATCAGCAACCTTCCCCAGCCATTCATCAACAACCTCCTGGTGCTCAGCAACCACCTGCTTACGGATACGGTGTCGTTTCACCTTGATTCGAGAGAGAGACAGAGGATAGTAAATTATAAATAGTCAACTTTTGCATAGCGTGGAATAAAAGGGAACTTTTCCAATACCAAAAGATCATTGTGCTATGTTGTCTTTATTGTACATGTGATTCTATAAGCCAATTTCATCGAATAAATCATCGACTTTATCTCGTTCATCATCATCACTGCTATGGATCATAATGGTGTCTTTTTCCTTGTCTGAAGGCTTGTTGCTACTATGCCTGGTGGTGGTGGTGGTGGTGGTGGTGGCAGGTATATCCAATGACATGTCACTACTGCTGTTGCTTCGAGTGGTGGTAATAGGTATATCCAAGGACATGTTGTAACTCTTGCTACCATGATTTTGAAATGGCGAACTAATGTCTTCATCATCATCATTCATCATGAGATCTAAACCATCTTGTGTGGCATCACTATCATCATCGTCATCTACTTGATCGTTCTTCAAAGGTGATTTTTTGAACATGATGATGGGCGTGGAGGAACGTGAAGGAGGAGGTTCAAGAGATGATGATATTTGTGGTGAGAGTGATCGTTCTCGTGTAGGCGTCTTTTCCATTGCTGGCATTCCAAGGCCGAATTCTGAATCCATCAAATCCACCACTGATTTCTTGGGTTCTACATCGTCGTCTTCTTTTTCACTAGTGTCACTTGTCGACATGGCAACATCCTGCTGCTTATCCACTTTGGCTCTTCTCGATGGTGTTTTTCGCCTGGTGGTGGTTGTTGGCATATCCATGCTGGATAAAGTATCGATACCAAATTCATCATCCATAACATCCACGGTCGCTTTCTTTTTCCTTCTGGTGGTTGTTGTTTTTGGCTTTGGTGTATCCACGATAGATGACGTATCAGCACCAAATTCATCATCCATAGCATCCACTGTTGTTTTCTTTTTCCTTCTGGTGGTGGTTGCTCTTTTGGGCACATCAATGGACATATCAACACCAAATTCATCATCCATAGCATCCACTGTTGTCTTCTTTTTCCCTCGCGTCGTTGTTGCTCTTTTGGGCGCTGTGCTGGTGCTGGCAGATGTACTTTCATCTTCATCCATCTTTTTCTTTTGTCGTGCTTTGGTGGTGGTGGTTGCTTTCTTTGGCTTCTTCTTGTCATCATCCTCAGTATTCACCTTTCGTCGAGTTTTTGCTTTTGGCTGTTCATCCAAGGCATCTGACCAGGGAAGTGATCGTCGTCGTCGCGGTGGCCTTGAAGTTGAGGATGAGGATGATGGCTGAGTGGTGATACTTGTCGATGATGGTTGTGGTGGTTGTGGTGCTGGTGCTAGTGTAGCTGTTGTAACATTTGGCTGTTTTTCAGATACAGCGGTGTCCTTGGATATTGCCGCCTTGGCCTTGGAGGGGGGATTGGTATCATTTGTTGTTGTAGATGGTGGTGGTTTTCTGGTAGGCGCATAATCAAAATCATCACCGTTGATCATGAACATTTTTAGCGTCGCGACACAATGCTTGCATTTTCCTCCTTTGCCAACGGGACATGAGCACACTCCACCCGATATAACTAAGTCTCTGTTAGTCATTGTATCCATCCTCATCCTATAAACATGTACATACCAATATTGCCACCACTTGGCTTTTCCAACGTGATATGCACATTGTATGGCTCAGCTGCTGTTCCTTTCGCCTTGGTAAATAACGTGATCTTCTCTTCGTTGCCAGAGAATTCAGTTTGGTCAAGAGAGTCAAGGATAGATCCACCACGCTTGTAGGCACCTTGGTTGTCAATGTACTTTACGATCATATCATCTTTGAGCGCATATGAAAACGACTCCATCAAATCCACTGGATCACCATGATACGGTTCTTGGATCCCTTCATGCTGCTCCGGCTCTTTTGGTGGTGATAATGGTGAAGTGGTGGTGTCCTTGTCGCCATTGTGGATCGCTTCTTTCATGATGGTATCACTCTGTATAGGATCCCCAACAGGGATAGCTGCCTCCATGCATAATTTCCACTTCTCATAGGTTGATGCATTCTAGATATCCAAATGTTAAATCAACAAGCAGGTTTGCAAGCATCTTTTCTTTTACTTACCGATGCAGATACACTATGCGTCAATCTCTCTTCAAAATGCTCAGTCGTGGTAAGCTCCTCATTTTTCAAATGCTTCACCAACGGCACCAGGGAGTCAGACGTTATCTCTGGAGGTAAATCCCTGGATTCATATTAGCCAAAATTGATCAAATGGCAACATTATACACTACTTACAGCAGGGATGGAGATTTTAAAGATAACGTATCACCTTCACTACTTGCTTTGTCGGCTTGGATCATAGTAGAACTACCATCAATCATGTTAGATAGGTGTGGATCAATGCACCACTGCTACAACTTACAAGTCACCTTCCCACCGGGAACGATTCTTGGATTTCTCCTCATTCAGGTATACATTTTGGATACTCGATAAGTAAGGATGATCTTCCACCTTGCGAGCTTCTTGTCGAGAGAAATGCAAACAAAGAGAGCGAGACAAATCCAAATGATGACGATGCTGCATACTATTATATAATGTTAGATGGCTTACTCGAGTGTATCATCACCATTATCCACTTACCATGTAATTTGATCAATGAGCTCTTCATGATGCGCATCACAGTAATCCCGAGAATACATGTATATAGGGCACGCTGCATTCATCTCTTGTAATCGCTCATAGGTTGCTTTTCGAAGCCTCGTCAATAATCCTTCCTGTTTGCTAGTAGTAGACTTTGAATGAGATCATCGTGTAGCAAATACAATTCACGTGATACCTTTTGCTTGTTTCATTCACGACCACTTGACGAAAAAGAAGTTTTTCATCGACAAAGAAAATTAGGGTACTCCAAAGAACCATCAATACACGACTCATTCATGTTGCCAATCGAAAAACATCTTACCCAGCTATCGATAATGATGCCATTGCATCCGACCAACCTTGGATAGCCGCCTTTGCATCGGTTGTCAATACTATGCCATGTTCTATTGATGGTGCTTGGTCGCACAGGGACAGAGTGATGTTCACAAAGAGCGCCTATTCTTCGTATAAGCTATCGAAAAAGAATAAATGGAGGAATCAACGGACCTGCTTGATAAAAGGGGTATCGCTTATGCAAAAGAGCTTGTTGGCATCATCTGTAACACAATGGATCGTACAAGAAGAAGGTGCCTGTGATGCTGCTGGATCGTACGGAACAAGGCATCGCCGCATCCACTGCTCGGCTGTTGTATTATGCTGATGGTATATAGACATGCTCCATCCAAGTAAAAGGTTGATCTGAAGCTTTGAAGTAGGGAGCTCATAGCACGCCATACGCAGCTCTGCACGTATCTTGTTGATGAATAGCATGACTTGATCCAGTCTCTTGTCGCCACAAGGATGCATAAAGTGAACGGCGAGACTCTTGTTATTCTTGAATGAAGCGAGATCAGTGTTACATGGTTGAGGATCGTGAATGAAAGCAGGAAGAATGACATACTGAATCGTATACTGTCAGAATGTCGCGAGCCAATGCGCGAATGGGCATTGGGTGGTTGCCATCGTCTGGACAATAAAAGACGTGTGTATCCTTCAGGTGTTGATAATAATGTATGGCTGCGATAGCTGGGTGTCCTTGTAACCAAATGATATCATACATGGAAGAGATGCAGTGGATTGCTCTGTGCAGGAAATTCACGCTAATCTCAGCAGCCCCTCTCCCACTCACTCACTGATACCACTCCAATGCTGTCATCTGAAAGCAATCACTTTTGACATCATCATCATCATTCAATAACTGAAGGAGAGCGTGCCTTTTCATAAATGGATACAACCCAACACACGACATACTAGCATACCAGTTTATTGGTGTTATTGTCATTGATACAACGCCTTGCCCCACAAACAGCATTTGACATGTCGGGGGTGTTGGGTGATCGTGGTGGGTGGCGATGGGGGGTATACACAGGGTTACTCCCCCACATTCAGGCTGTCGGAGGCACAAGTAGTGAATTCTGCTTTGTCAACGGATAAAGCTTGATCATATAATAAGAAACCCACATCCATTCCCACCCCATTCTTCCTTCCTCTCTCTCTCTCTCTCTCTCTTCTTTTTTATTACTCATTCTAATTATCAAAATGGCTCCTCAACTTCCTCATCCTATTCGCTTGGCCCCTCAACCCGAAGCCCAACCCACCAAGGTTGGCGTCAAGTCTCCCGAAGATGTAGTCGTCGTCGCTGCTGTACGCACTGCCATGACTAAGGGTCGCAAAGGTGGTTTGAAGAATACACGTGCCGATGGTAAGCTTTTCCTTCTTTATTCAGAAACAACACATACAAGCATGGACTCATTGTGTATGAATAGAGTTGTTGTCATTTGTCTTTAAGGGCATCATTGAACGCACTGGCATTGATCCCAAGCTTGTTCAAGACATTTGCGTTGGCAATGTGGACGGCAAGGGTGGTTTGGCTACTCCTTCGCGTATGGCTGCTTTGGCTGCTGGTTTCCCGGATACCACCAGTGTCATGACTACCAACCGTCAATGTGCTTCTGGTTTGCAAGCCTGTGTACAAATTGCTTCTTCCATCCAAGCAGGTCTTCTCGATATCGGTATTGGCGCTGGCGTCGAATCCATGAGCAATGACTACTTTGATCGCAACCGCAAAATGTCCAAGAAGCTTCCTCAAGAGGTCCCTGTCGCTGCTGATTGTTTGGTCCCCATGGGGTAAGCAACATTAAGGGTGATTCATGCAAAAATTAACATTACCCCCTCTTAGTGTCACCTCTGAAAATGTGGCTTCTGATTATGGTCTTACTCGTCAAGAACAAGATGAATTTGCTGTGGCATCTCACAAGAAGGCTGCTGCTGCTCAAGCTGCTGGTTACTTTAAGGAGGAGATTATCCCTGTCAAGGCTACCGTGTACGACAAGGATGGTGAAAACCCAAAGGAAGTCTTGGTGGATCAAGATGATGGTATCCGTGCCAACTCTTCTGTCGAAAGCCTTGCCAAGCTCAAGCCCGTCTTTAAAAAGGATGGCTCTACGACCGCTGGTAGCGCTTCTCAAATCTCGGATGGTGCTGCTGCCGTGTTGCTCATGAAGCGTAAGACTGCTCTCGCTCTTGGTATGCCCATCCTTGGTAAATACGTTACTTCCGCTGTCGTTGGTGTAAGTAAAAAAAGAGGATCATGTGAGGATACGCATTAGGTTGACATGGTGGTGATGATCCTTTAGGTGCCTCCTCGTATCATGGGTGTGGGTCCTGCTTATGCTATCCCTGTGGCCATTGAACGTGCTGGTATCACTCAAGATGATGTCGACATTTTCGAAATCAACGAGGCTTTCGCTTCTCAAGCTCTTTACACCGTCCGTGTCTTGGGTATTCCTTTTGAAAAGGTCAACCCCAAGGGTGGTGCTATCGCCATTGGCCATCCACTTGGGTAAGTGTCACGTGATGTCCTGGCTATGACATTCGGCTGATGATATTTGGAACCTTAGATGCACTGGTGCTCGTCAAGTGTGTACCCTCTTCCCTGAATTGAAGCGCACCAACAAGCGTATTGGTATCACTACCATGTGCATGGGAACTGGTAAGTTGGAAATGGGTCATTGCTATAATCGCTGTACTAATGGTAATTGTGCTTAGGTATGGGTATGGCCTGTGTCTGGGAACGCGAGTAAACAATTCGTGTACTTTTCAGTAGCGTGACATCTATTTAAACAACGATTTTATATACCTTGTACAAAATCCATTAAAGTGATCAATAACAATGACAAAGATGACTTGTGAGAATTATGCTTGAGGATGAATGATGATGATAGTAATTAAGGTGAATGCTATGGACATGATGACCACCCGTTAATGAATGTGAAGTAAAAGATCAATTTGCGTTATCCACTCTTCTCAATGACAAGAATACTTTGTTTTCAATTGGATATAGTAACCGAGAAAAAACAGCTACTGTGCTCATCCACATAAAGCGTCTGTATTTAAAGACTATTTGTAAACAATGGAATGGCATATACGACTCGTAATTTCAAAACTACTGCTCAACCACGGTGAGGCAGGGCAATACAACTGTTCTCAGCTATAATATATAAATAAAGAGATGAATTAAAGTGAAACCGAAACAACACCGTGATTATACGACTTACTATCCTCCCAGTGACAGATATCGCCGTAAAGTTTACATTCGGCTTGACTTCGCAAATCGTGGCATTTATTATCTCCAAAGAAACCATCGTCGAGAGCGTTGGCCGTAGCAAGGGTGGTGGCAATAGCAAAAACGAGTGCAGAGAACTTCATTGGAAATGATGTATGACGACGTTGTTGCGTAAGAGGGAATATCAACGTGGCTCGTTATATACTCCACGATGCGTCTTCCGGGGAACCTTATTGTTTTGAGTAAGATCTCTACCTTACTACTCACATCAAAAGTAAGGAGTAAAATCACCTAATATTGCGTACGTTTACACATAGATACCCTCTTCTACTACGTACGGTATTATGCGAATGCAAAGCACCTTTCAAAGGGGAAGGGAAACTGATGCCGATATGCAAGAACGCCTCTGGTTAGGAGAAGTTGGCGAAACTATGACGGCAATCGCTGTAAATGCATGCATGGTGTACACAAAAAAAAGCATTGAAGCAGCAGCCTGCTAGTTTCAATCTGATGCTATTCATTAATGGCTATTGACATAAGCCTAATTCACATGTCATAAGGACAATGACAAGAACAACAATAAAGTTGATAAACGCATTCTTGTAATTCATATTGCTATAACGTGTGCTTCTTCGAAGGAAGAGGAAAGAAGAGTTCTCCTCATTGCTATGCTAGCTATTATTCGTGGGAGAGGATGTTGCATCCAAAGTTCGCCGATTTATGCATACAGAACGCCATTCCCCAACAAGTGAGCTCCTTGATAAACACGTCCACCTTGTGCTAATGATGTTGCCGCAGATCATTTTGTTCCATGCATGCTTTTCCTCTATCATGCCTCCTTTGCTTACATACAGTCTTCAGCATCCAAGCTTTGACGTGTATCATGAAGATGGGTACTATGTATGATCATTTCTAAATCTTGTCGATACGAGTGGGCACATTGTACTCGAGATTATCAACTTTGGCGTCTCATTGTGATTATTGTCATTGTGGGCTCTTGTAAAGGGGTATGGCCTAATCTAACAATGTTTGTTTTCTTTTGATATAGCCATCTCCAGTGACGAAATTTGTAAACCTTTTTAAAAAGGATGGCTCTGCTGCCGCTGGTAGCGTTTCTCAACCTTGGATGTGCTGCTGTTGTTGCTGTGTTGCTCATAAAGCTTGAAACTGCTCTTGCTCTTGGTATGTTCATCCTTGTAAGTACATCACTTCCGCAGTCGTTGGTGTAAGTAATAAGTGGATCATGGGAGAGGATAGGCATAAAGTTGACATGGTGATGATGCATTAGATAAGTGCCTCCTCGTATTGTATGTAAATTCTTGGAGCCGTTAACAGCGTGATAGGATCTCTAACATTGTCAATGCATGGATCACACACATATATTTTCTTCATCACTATACATAATAAAGCAGCACGTCGTATCTGCATGACGACCGTTTGGATTAATCCTCGTTGCTATGATACCATAAAACAACGCTATTGGGCTCCAAGGACTACACAACAGCAATTCCTTCAAGGAACGTGCAACTCATTCGCCCAATCTCCTAGCAAGCTTTTCTAGAGGATAACATGCCAACCATGTAGCAATCGGCCATGGATACGATGTATACCAGGAAATTCAAACGTTTATTTTACATCCAACATGTTGGCGGCATGGTTCGATCTCCTTGGGCATTTATTCCAAATGTGTGTCCGTGCGTCGATCACTTTCGGAGAATTCCAAAAATAGATGACATGACACATAGTAATGTTGATGTTGTTCAAAACCTGAGCTATGAATCCAGCCATGTGAAAATACGACTTCTAAACGTGGATAAAGTATATTGATGTGGGTATCACAGGGAGAGAGAGAGAATGCTTAAAAGTAGACAACATCCACAGCCTGTACGCATGCTGTATGCTATTAAAAAGATGGAGAGAGATGAAAAAAAGGCACCAAAACATTGTTCCAGACAGCGGGATCACGCATCCAATGTGGACCCCGCGTGCCCAAAAAAAAGGTGGTCCAGAACGAGAGGATTCATTTTTGCAGAACCTTTTAGTGTATTTGACTAAATTTATAACACGTACCCAAGCAATCATCTAACGTGATATAGCTTATCGTGCATTATCACCACCACCATCATCATCCTTACCCATCTCTCCCATATATGAACTTTTCACGTAAAAATAGACAAGATGACAATATTTACTACTACAAAGTACATGTATAAAGATGTTGTATTATGCAAGATTGGGTTTATGTTCAATGGTGGGTTCATCAGGCTTCATATTTTCTTGAAGTTCACGTTGTGTGCCCATGTTGGCCATGCCTGGTGTGGGTGTGGGATAATAGTAACCACCTTGTGTGTTATAGTAATCAGCTCCCATATCATGTTCAGGATGATGGTAGTATTGGTTGCTGCTGTTGTTGTAATCCATAGCTGCCATATTACCGTAGCCAGCGGCAGCGGTAGCTGTGGTGGGTGAAGTAGGTGGGACAAATGGGCGCTGTTGATGTTGTTGAAAGGGTGAAGATCCACCACCAAAGCCGCTATGGTTACTGGTTTCGGCCATGTTGTTGAATGCAAAGTCATCAGGTTCGTGCTTGAGTCGTTGCTTACGCGAGTTGTCTCTGCTGCTACGTCGAATGAACCAAATCACCAGACCACCAATAATAGCAAGACCCACTAGCAGTAGTAGTAGCAGCATCCTTTAGTATCATTTTTACAAAGAACGCAAAGAACAATGAAACTTACCGACACCACCAACAACCGAGCCAGCTACGACAGCTGTTGTGTTGGTACCATTGTTGCCTTGTTGCTGTTGTTGCTGTTGATCACCTTGCTGTTGCTGGTTGTTATTGTTATTTTGTTGTTGGTTGTTATCGTTATTGGATGATGAGGAGGATGAATCAGAGTTATCGGAGGAGGACGAGGAGCTGTCAGTGGCCTTGCCATGGTTATGATTAGAGGATGAGGTGGGTTTATCTTCGGATGATGATTGTTGCTGGTTATTGTTATCGTTTGATTGGGTAGGTGTTGGTTGTTGACTATTGTTATTGTCATTGCTGTTGTTGGAAGAGGTAGGTTGTGCACCCGAAGAGTTGGTGGGATCTTGAGACTGTTGCTGATCACTTTGTTGAGCATTATCAGATTGCTGTTGGTCAGGAGAAGATGCTGTAGCTGAAGGCGAGCTATCACTGCCACCGCCACCACCACTACTGCTGCTGCTGCTGTCACCACCTCCTAGTAGACCACCGCCATTGTCACCGCCTATGCCTAGTAAATCGGCACGTCCCACAGTGCTGCAAATATGTAAAAAGACGAGTACAAAGAATAGGAGCGATGTTGATGAAGGTAGTCGCATGCTTGATGTTGTATATAAAAAAGAAAGAAGGAAAAAGAGAGAGAGATCCTTTGGTATAGTCTTGGTTATAAATGGGGATGGTGCCTATCATTATTATTAGTATTTAGATCGGCGCTCGATCGCATGTTTCTTGGCTGTGTGATGGTGGATGATGATGGCCCTGACACACACACACTACTTACTGTCGATCCCATTGCCTCAATAAGCTATTCCCCATTTAGTCACACGTAATTGATCCTTACGATTCCAAGGAATCCAATGCTTCATTTTAATCAATGGATCGGTCACCCGAATACGTCTAATCCTTCTTGGTTTATTGTTGTTGTTGTTGTTGATTACTAGGCTTTTTCCCGGCTACTGCTAATCTTCCAGAGATGGCACCACCTGCTGCTCCACCATAAAACACGACACCACACCTTGCAATCAACTCCATGGCTAGCTTCAGTGTCACTATTCGAATATCCGTATTGGCTGGTGCCTTTGCAAAGAACAATCGATGTCGCGTATCAGGTTGAAACGTCAACTTGCCAAGGACACCCATGCTCACCAACGTCCCTGCAGTGGCAGCCCATCCTGAACGAGGTGGATAATACTCTTTCAGTAACTCGCTTGTCGAACGATCTAGTTGATGGGCATGAGTCCAATCGTAGCTTCCTCTATATGATAAATAGATAGATACCTTGTAGGCTTGGTGGTGGAGGACCTTGACACAACTTTGCTGCCTCGTAATCGACGCCATTGAAGACCTTGGAGAATGTGAAATAGCCAATGGGGGCACCAATGAGAAATGCTGGAAGGAAAACGGCCATGAAGGAAGGTGGGGGTATATAATACAAGTGAAAGAAATGGCTTTTGCAAGCACACACACCCTGGCATAAATTCCGCTTTGTTGCATGATATCATTTTGCCATCACCACGCCATGGTCATTTGGATTGTGGGAGAAAGAGAGCCATATCGTGAAGGCCTATTTCTATTGCTAGAACATCCCAAATATGAGGACATGTATCGCTCACCAAAAAGGACTATGCACCATAGCCTGTGAACTTGCTGGGGATGAGCAAAGAGCCTTTGATGTGATCATTGTCCATGCATAATAAAAACGTGATTCGAGATAAAGAAACCTTAAAACAATGAAGCTGATCCAACATCTCAAACCACATGCTGCTGTGCTTGTCCATTTAATTAAGTGTAAGCAGCAATGATCCCTCAATTACATTAAAGATGCATTTAACATGCAAGGAGCAAAGTATGCCTACTGGGACTGTGGATGTAAGATGTCAGCGACGTGTGTGTTATGCGAAGGTAATCCATATCGATATCCAAGGGATTAATTGAGGGCAATAATAAGAGGTTGTTCGATGATGCTTGTGTCAGATTTTTCAAAGTCGCATGTCATGGATAAGCATATAATAGACACGTGTCAACGTTTTGGCCAGCAGAGTTTCAATGGGGATGATAAGTACAGCTTGCCCTCATATCCCATTCGATGATTTGAGACATCAGCTATTATGGAAAAGCATGCTCTTCTTATAGAGATCATGATAGGATCTCGATCGATCCCCTCGACTTGACCAGCAAGCATTGGATCAAACAAAGTTGAACATAATGTTGTCAGGAGGAGTAGCATGGCATAGGTTTATTAAACGTTGTTACTAAGCAAAGAATCATGATCCATATAGCCAACAAGTTGGGCAAATGAATGAAGCAGACTCGTTTTAGTAAGGTTGAAATCGTGTAAAAATGGGATCTAGACGGTGCCTTTCAGGTTGCTGGTGGAGATCTAAAAAGGAAATGCAAGAGAGAGGTTTCGATCGGGTAATTCCCTTCTGTATTTGATGCGGATGCCATGTGCATTTTGTGGTGCGTGTGTAACATTCTACACGTATACGAGAGAAATAAAGGTGATGTGTTCATTTGACAAGCAGTAGTAGTATAGGCTACTATCGGATAGCTGTGATAGCAGGTGGTATCCATGGATGATGATGATGAGTGGGTCTGGACACGTGGATCAAGTGAATATGCCTGGTGGATGGTGCATGTTTCAGAGATTGGTGTTACACATGAGAGCATAAGCAAGAAACTCCCTTTTCCTCGTCGTCTTCAGGGGTAAAATGTCGTTTTTGTCTCTTGTTGTTTTAACTTGATCCCTTTTTACCTCGTTTGTTGTTTCTTTTGATAAGCAATCGAGTCATTGTGATCATATAAAAGACCAAGTGAAAGAAAAAGAGAGAAGCACAAGACCCATCATCTGCGGCCTAAACTCAGCATCTCACGGCACGCACGATATAATATACTTTAAGCAAGGTAACTGGTGGATAAAGAGATACAGTTGAAAGAGGACAAGCGGAGGCAGTATTGACAAGAAAGCGAATGTGAGCGTGTGTGTGTGCGTGTGTGCGTGCGTGTGTGTGTGTGTGCAGGTATCAAGTTGGGGGGCGTAATAGCTCATACGCTTGTTTCTCTCTTTCTCTCTTTTAGACATATACACGTACACTTTCTTTCCTTTTCTCTCTCTCTTTCTCTTTCTCTCTCTTCTCTCATTCCCCTACAATGACATCTGGAGGGAGCAATAATACTACTACTACCACTTCTCCTCATCCAACGGATGACAAGCCTGTTACTGCAGCAACTACAACACCACAGCAACAGCAACAGCAACCCACCACTGTTCCAGTACAACAACAACCACCATCAGGGGCTATTCCTTTCAATGGAGTCATGACACCGACATCACCACCCTATCCACCTTATGTCACCTACATTGACCCTGAGCATGTGGATGAAGCGGGTGGGTATACTTATGTGTACCCCATGAGCCCACAGTTCTCTGTGCAGTATTATCAAGACTTGAATGGGTATCAAAGTTATCCAGGTTCGCCTGCATTACATCCACAGTCGCCGCCTGTCAACCCCACCAGTCCGCCATTCAGCCCTACCTTCCAACCTACTGGTGCTGCTCCTGGTACTTCAATCACTTTATCACCACCTACACATGCCTTTGTTCTACCATCGCATCATCATCATCAATTCCCTCCGTTGCACATTCCTTCTCCCGTGTTGACAGGCACCAATCATCCCCATCATCCACCCGGTTCGCCACCTCAATTCATTCAACCTCTACCCACATTATCCGCTGATCAGCGTCAAAAACAAGCTCAAGATCATTTCCATACGCATAACGTTTATGTACGTGGTTTGGCGGCAACTACAACAGATGATTCGTTCTTGGAGCTTTGCAGCGTGTAAGTGTATCAACACAAAGATTTTCTCTTTTTCTCTCTCTCTCTCTCTGTATTAACATTGAAAGCTTATTTATTAGATATGGCAAGATTACATCAAGCAAAGCTATCATCGATCAAAAAACGGGTGAATGCAAAGGATACGGTTTTGCTATGTATGAATCTGAAAAAGAGTGTCAACATGCCATTGATGGATTGAACAAAGCTGGATTGCAGGCATCATTTGCCAGAGTGGGTCAGGTACGTACATACGTCTTTATTCAAAGGATGGGAAATCAAAGGGGCTCATGGAACATGCTGTAGGAATCGTTTAGCTCCCGATTGAGAAGTCTCCAAGATGAAACATCAACCAACATTTATATTTCAAATCTACCTTTGGATATGACTGAACAGGTAAAAATAGGAAAAAAGGGATTATGGATCATTGTTTCGCTAATGAAGGATGGATCAATAGAAATTAGAAGACTTGTTCCAACCCCACAAGACCATTTCCAATCGTATCTTGAGAGATCCACAATCAGGAATAAGCCGTGGTGTTGGATTTGCCAGGTATGTATATACATTAGAGGATGAGAAATGGATTCTTATGATGATTGTTATAGATTGGCGGATCGTCATTCAGCATTGACTATTATTGAAAAGTTCAACGGCCATGCGATTGATGGATCTTCAGCACCTTTGCAAGTGAGATTTGCAGATTCGCCTGCCCAAAAGAGACTCAAGAGCCAAACAGCACGTAAACGAATACTCCGACCACGAGAATTTCAACCCATGGCTAGTTTCCCTGTACGATCCATGATGCCAGTGACACCAGAGACCATGCTTGGTATTGCACCTGCCAGTGCTACTGCTGCCGGTGTAGCTACAACGGCTGCTCCACAACCTGCCTACACATACTATCCTCATGATCCGCATCATCCTCAGTAAGTATATCTATATCTATGGGATGGGCCTTTAAGAGATAGCAAGGTATTCATGGACCTTTTTTTAGATACATTCATTATCCTGCAACGTTAATGACGACACCTATGCCTATGCATGCAGCTACGGCTACAGCAGCTTCGCCACATACAGCGCCACAGCAACAACAACAACCACAACCACAGCCGCAAGATACTACTGCTTTGGCATCTCCACCACCCACCACAGATGATAAGGAACTCAAGGAATTGACTGCAGCTGTAGAACAAAAATTGGACTTGACTAAACAATAGTAACTCAACAACAACAACAAACACCTCTCGCAAGCACTCACTCTCTCTCTCTCTCTCTCTTTCTCTCTCTTTTACTGCTCAACCCCCCCTTCACTACTGCCCATTCACCACTTTTTTTCACGCACGTTCGCAATGCATTCACCACCCACCAACAATCAATTTTTGTAATACAATTCGCACTTTTGCAAAAACACACAAATACGATCTACCCCTCGGGTATCAGGATTAAGGGAGAGGGGAAATGACATTTTGTATTACATTAGCAACAAACATGATTAAAAGGAGAGAGCTGATCAGTCGACATCTTGACATGTGTATACTACGATCTTCTCTTGCACACTTTAGCGCGCGCGAGTGGTACAGTAAAAGGATGATCCTTGCCGTGTCTTCCGTTGATTGATTTGGTTGTGCAACCTTCTCGGTCAAATCATTCCGTTGTCCCGAGCATGACAAGATCAGCAATGTACATGATGAGACTTGATAATGAGACTCTAGAGATCCATATTATCCATGCATTCATTGGCAGCAAACAATGTATGGTCTTGGACGTGTGTTAAATAAGAATGTAGCAAGGAACCCCGCTCATGATGTACATCGGATCGACAATCCGGTCATGATGTTGTACGCTTTTTTTTCTTTCTTTCCCCGCAAAACACATGGCATCTAAATGGGTGAGTGAGAGAGAGAAGGGTGGCACAAGGGTAAGCATCATGGTTACCTCTTGTGTGCAAAAAGAAATGCCTTGTTTCATATGGCTTTTTCTGGAAAGGAGGACAAGAAGTGATCGTTGATCGTTGTTCAGCAACCAAATGAGACAAAGCTCGGTTCATCACCCGGATCTCATCCCGTCATGGATAAAACTACACCCCCTTATCCTTCCCCCACCATCCTATGTACTATCACCTTGCATAAGAAACAAACAAAATAAGAGGTGGTGGTGGTTTGAATGATAACCATCATCTTATACTGCTTTGCTACTACTATTACTATTACTATTGTTATTGCTGCTCCTGCAAGTATGCAACAGCTGCTGCATCTTGCACACTATACACACCCACACACACATGCATACATACATACATACGCGCGGTTAGCTAAAATTAGTTACTTGCATCAGCATCATCAGCAGCCAGCAGTGTGGGTGATCATGTATGATTTGGACCGATCACTTGTCCTAATCTACAATACCGCCTGATGCTGTTTAAGTGGAGTCAAATGGGGAGGAGTAAAAGCCCAGCTGACTGTTTGACACAAACAACGCCAAGCAAACTTGGATTGCATGCATACATATACACACACACACACCATTGATCTCTCTCGCTCATGTCAACGCATCAGCTTGTACCACCTATTCATTCACCTATAAAAGCAAGTCGTGGCCCCACATGTTCTTTTTCTCCCCTTTTTTTCTTCTTTCCCAAAACTCTTTTTCTTGCCCTTTTTGCAACCACGAACTTTCCACTCCCTTTTCCTCCACAACGATACATACATTCGATTACGTATATATGGTTTTGGATCAACTTGTACAATCTTCACGCCGTGCATTTGTACGATTGGGAAGGAAGAAACGGCATTCATCCATGACAACAACGACCATGACAACGAATCTCCATGACACCTTGTTACTTGCAGAAGAACATCTTGTTGGCCGACATGGACGATCGAATGATGCACGTATTGCCGTTTCACTTTTACAACAATTGATCACCACGCACGACGACGATGATGATGATGATGACAATGATGCGATGGCACGTGCACAGGGCTTACTTGGCTTTTGTCATGAATTTGGATTGGGTACGGAAGAAGATTTTGTGGCAGCCGAAGCGCATTATGCAGCGGGCGCTTCTATGGGTGATGCTTTGGCCATGTTACGACTTGCCTTTTTACGTAAATACGGACGACCTGGTATAAAGATGGATCGATGTGAAGCCGAATATTGGGAACATTTATTACAAGAGGAGTACGCTCATCAAGCCACGCGTGTGATGGAATGGTTAACCTGTTGCGCTGCTTCATCCTCCTCCTCCTCTTCAATGACCCAGCATTTAGCAGGGGCAAGTCAATACTGCCTTGGTGTGTGTTACCATGATGGTTTAGTGGTGCCGCAAGATGTCGGTGCGGCGTTCGGGTGGTACAAGGCGAGTGCCGAGAGTGGCCATGCTAGAGGACAAGGCATTTTGGGCTACTGCTACGGTGAAGGAGTCGGTGTTTCGGAACGAGATGCTACGCAGGCACTGGTTTGGTATCGCCGTGCAGCAGCACAAAACGAAACAGTGGCCATGTACAATATCGGCTATTGCTATGAAGATGGCCTTGGCGTACAAAAAGATATGACCATGGCAGTCCATTGGTATCGTCGTGCAGCTGAACTCGGCAATGCATTTGCACAAAATGCTTTGGGCTATTGCTACGAAGATGGATTGGGCATTGTACGTGATCCTTCCTTAGCCGCCATGTGGTACGCAAGATCCGCTGCTCAAGGCTATCCATGGGCTCAATGCAACTTGGGCTACTGCTATCAAAATGGCATTGGCGTAGAAAAAGATCCTGTCATTGGCACTGAATGGTATCGTCAAGCTGCTCGTCAAGGTCATGCACGTGCTCAACACAACCTTGGCTTTTGCTACCAAAATGGTATCGGTGTCGATCGTCCCAATCCACAAAAGGCTGTTGAATGGTACCTTAAATCAGCTGCACAGGGCAACATGTTTGCTTTCCATTCCCTTGGTTACTGTTATCAGAATGGCATTGGTGTCGATCAACCTAGTTCCAAGGATGCTGTTTATTGGTATACTCTCAGCGCACGTAAAAATCATGCACCGGCTCAACTCTCACTTGGCTTTTGCTATCGTAACGGTGTTGGTGTTGACAAGAATGAACGTGAAGCTGTCAAATGGTTTCGTCTCGCTGCTGAACAAGGCAACGCACTTGCACAAAACTCGCTTGGCTTTTGTTATGAAGAAGGCATCGGTCTTGATAAACCTGATCCCCACTCAGCTGTGTATTGGTACACACAATCAGCTCGTCAAGGCAACCCTTGGGCTCAATGCAATCTGGGTTTTTGTTATGCGCACGGACTTGGTGTCGATAAAGTGGATCCTGCACGTGCCGTTCATTGGTATCGAAAAGCCGCCGTTCAAAATCATGCACGCGCTCTCGACAAACTTGGCTATCATTTACAAAACGGCTTGGGTGTTCGTCAAAATTTACCATTAGCTGCAAGGTACTTTGAACGTGCTGCACAACTTGGTCATGTCGCTGCTCAATTCCACCTTGGTGTTTGTTACGAACGTGGCGTTGGTGTCCCAATGAATCTTCAACACGCTTTATACTGGTTTGAAAGAGCTGCTTTGGTACGTTGTTGGAATACACATACATAGATCGATCATTAACGCATGTCCTTTTTATGTAGACGGGTTGTCGTAGCTCTCATGAGCGCTTACGTCGATTGTTGCTTCGATACTGCCTAGAAAATGCATCCGTGATTGAAGCAAGTGACCCAACCCTTTTTGCCAAAGGATGCCATCCCGTTGGTTGGATTGCGGGTTATAGTGCCAAGGCTGCATAATCATTGTTTTTGTTTTGTTTATATACGCACACACACACACACACGCCATCACCTCCATCTCACTTTTCAAATGCATTACTACTCTCTATAGAAATCTTGTAATTCACCCACTCTTTGTACAGTTTTACTTTTAATGATCCTTCTTCCCCCCCCTTTGTATACTGCACCCACACCCATTTTGCATTTTCTTTTGTCTTTTGGATTCAATAAAAAAAGTTGTTAGTGTATCAAAATAGGGATTCGTGAGAGTGGCATCATCGGAAGAAGCGATCCGTGCCTTGTGAGACAAATCATGCAACCCCTGAAACTCTATGTCACGGCCTCGGATATCAGCTGAACATGATAAGGAACATCCGCCGGGGACTCATTACATTATATGCGGGGTTTGCTCATGGTGTCTCTTTATTCTCGAGTGACCTCATCCTCGGTGTTTCTCTTTACTTCCCACCTTTACCACAACCACCCCACCGAATGTCATTTTACAATTGACCTCTGCCCGTTCTACAACGCCCATTCAACAACGTTGGCAGATTGCGCAAAGCTTAAGCGGCTTCAACCGAACAACAATGAGCGTTTTGAACCGAGTGCATTTCGACACGACAACGTTCCAATGAGGGCCCATTACAGCACCCGGATTCTCTTTTGAACAGCACGCCCATCAGCAATAGTAACGTCTACTGTACAACGTTGGGCTATGCATAGCAGCTATCAGCTTGACCAACAGCCTTGCACACGAACAAGTCTCTTTACCAGCATCTTTATTAAGCGATTGTATCACTACTATGGGCGTTCATCATGCAGCCATGATTCAAGCTATACCATTTGTGGATAGTCGCTGATGCAAGTTTGAACCATCTCTTTCTTTTGGGTATGATACATTCACTTTTTCTTCCACTTTCTTCATCATCCAATGTCTGATACTCTTTCACTCTTTTCTTTGGCAGGAAAATATGCTGCCATCTCAGGATGTACGCGAGGTATTGGTGTTTCCATGGCGATGGGATTAGCTGAAGCGGGTGCAGGTAATAAAAAGATGCGTGTGATGGTGGTAGTGGTATATACCAACTCATTTTCTTTAGACGTTTGCTTGTTACAACGTAATGTGGACGATGTTCATGTTCGTGATGCTATTCGTGCCCTTGGCCGTCGTGCTGAGATTATACACCTGGATGCATCCGATCAGGCGTCTGTTCGAACCGTCGTGGATCGTATTCTTCAAGTATTTCCCACGCTTGATATCCTCGTCAACAATGCAGGCATGGCCATTCGACACAAGTAAGAATTGCGTGGGTGTGAGAGAGAGGGGAAAAGGCAATCATCACTCATGTCATTTAAGGGCGGTTGATTTTCCAGAAGATGATTTTGATAAAGTTATCCAAGTCAATCTCAAGGCAGTATGGACCATGAGTCAAGCAGCTGCACGTCACATGATTCCAAAAGGACAAGGCAAGATCATTAGTACTGCAAGCGTATTGAGTTATCAGGCAAGTCATGATCATGGGAGATTAAGGAAGACATGCTGATGATGGCTTTATTATTGTAGGGAGGTATCTTTGTTCCCTCGTATTCGGCATCAAAAGGCGCGGTTGCAACACTCACCAAGGCCATGGCCAATGAATGGGCCAAGCATGGTATCAACGTCAATGCCATTGCTCCTGGATACATTGCAACGGACATGAACGTGGCTCTAAGAGAAGATCCAGAGAGAAGCAGACAGCTCTCAGAACGTATTCCAGCAGGAAGATGGGGAACACCAGATGATTTCAAAGGACCTATTGTGTATCTTGCTAGTCGTGCAAGTGACTATGTACATGGCGAAATGACACTTGTGGATGGTGGATGGATGGGTAAGGATATATAGACATGATGCTACGACCCTGCGGATCCCATTCTCATACGCTGTTTTATTAGGCCGATAATCGAATTACTTCCTCTTGCCAAATGAATGCGGGTTGATAGTAGTCTTATTGGAAACGTTTATTTGGTGTCATTAAAATCGTGTTATACGGCAGCGTCAATTGCCTTTCATCTTGAGCTTCTTTTTTTCAGCGCCAAAGATAGCCTTTGTTAATGTTGTTTATGGCTGGGCAAACATCAAATGATGGATACCCTAGAGGAAGTTACTAGCCCTTTTGGAACAACGGGATGTCCCACCATTCAAATCGATCAAATGTAGCATTCACCTATTCATTCCTCATGCACTCGCTTTTACACTCGTTATGATACCGATACGTAATGATGTAATCCAATGAACTTATATAATAAAAGGAGGAGAAGCAAAGCTATTCATATGATGATATCTATATGTTTCTGTAGAAGACTGCTACTGTCCCTTGGGTAGTCATTGACTTGTTGCAGGGGCTCGTCCCCTTTCGTCATAAGGAAGTTGCTTGGTAACTCCATCGAGCCGTGTACCGGAGGATGTGGACGTATACGAGGATCTTCAGCGCTTTGCTCCTCTCCAAAATAATGGAACATTTGAAAAGCCCAATGGAGAGCTTGTTCGATTGATGAAACCGAATCGTTTTGATATTCGGAGAAGTTGGCGTCCCGAATGTCTTGAAGAGCATTCATCCACACATTTGGATTGTCACCGTGGAACTTCCCGTATGCCATCATGACAGTGTTGGTGATCTTGTACTCATCATGAAGACCGAACTTGTACTTGCTATAGACTTGTATCGATACACAGCCAAGCGCATTGGGAGGCACACCATCAGTGACATGGGCAGCCCAACCACCCATTTGTGGAAAATGGAAGCTATAAAATGCAATCAACGGATGAGAAAAAGAAATTAAAGGAGATGCATGATAAACATACACTTACGTGAAAAATTCATTGTGTGGTATGTGTGGCATAATGCCACGATCCAACAACCGACTTTTGATGGCTGTTTTGTTGTCGCACGCGGAGAGCCAGCATCTGTACACATGTCGTTATTATCATATAAATAAACACCTGCATTGTTCATTGTCAAATGCTTACCACTGCATGGCGGCTGATGGTTGGATCATAATCCAGCATCTCCTCGACATCTTGGAGCTGACGCTGGAGATTTTGGTGCAACCCATGAGGTATCACAGTTATGGTGTGGATCACTTGATGCTTGAAGAAGTTGTCGCCGGCTGTATTGCACCGGCTGAGAACGCGAGCGCCGAAAAATGACACAGCGTTGCGTAAGAACAGGCTCTCTTAATTGAACCGCTTGCTCGTAATCAAGTCCATTCTTGACTAAAAGAGATGGCTCCAGCTTTGTCCCTCGACCTTCATGATATCATCCCAACTATGTGCAGCAACGATAGATCCATGGAAGCAATAATAGCTCAAGTAGGCTGGCACATCAAATCCAGGCCGACGATGTCATCTTCCCCAACAAGGCTGCGAGCTTTCTATAATGAAAGCTGATCATCGGAGCGAGTTTGTTGTGGGTGATTGTGGGTTTACTCGTACCAAACACCCCAAAGATATCGCAATAGCATGATATGCAAAAAGGTCGCATCTCCATGTACAATCTCAATACGGAGGATAAGGTAGATACCCTTTCCCTTGCCAGGCGATGAAAGAAGCCAATCCGAAATGACGACGGCTTTCGACTTTTGTAAGAAAAAAAACCGCCCCGCCCAACGATATCAGACTAGGCTCACAACGTGATGACAACGCCATCTGGCAAGAACAATACGCTTGTGCCCATTGGTTTCCATATGCACTTCCTTCAACGATATCACCAAGAAACCTGCCGCCTTTTTGTCGCACATCGTGTAAAGAGATGCAATCTTGTTTGACCACATTTCACCTTATGAGTCACTGGGAACGAGGCATACGAATCCTTACGTTCCTTGTTTGGGCGTGGTATCGTAAAGAGGCCAGGCACCAGATATGGATTTCTATCCGGTGATGCTTAGGCTGTGGTAGACGCTTTTTACGGGCACGCCAACCATTTGGTGTCGATAAAAAGTGAAGCGAGATGAGTGAACCATTGACCAAGTGTCGAACTTGTTCCATTTCTTGGATCTGTTGCCGCTTGTATCATCCGTAAACAGTGTGAGGGGCACAATCTTCACTGGCTGCTTGGACTTGAAATGCTCCTTGTAGCGATCGCCAAATGAAATTCGCACCGAATCATGCAAAGAGTAGATGAAGTCTTTGCAGAGCCTGTCATCTTCAACCCTGGCGGCTTTCTCTTGGCGTAATTCGTATAGCTACGTCTAGCCGATGGGGTCATCACATATGGCACCTGGTTAACCGATCCTGCTTCCTTCAAGAAAACCTTGGGATGTCAAGGAGAGGCCATGGCCCAAGCTGGAGGAACCTCTTAAAGTGACACGAGAAGATCTCGACGGTCGTGTACCAGAGCGAGCTCTTAAAGCCCCATCACAATTGATCAAAGAAATGGGATCATGTCTTGAAAATCGGTAAAGAAAACTTGATGCAACGACGTTTAATTTGACTCAACACGAAGAAAAGGTCTCCATGGCAACAGCTCTTGTCGATTCCAGAATCACCAAAGGGTATAGAGCTCCCATGACATACAACATGGCCCACACAATAAAGAGAAGCTGCGTCTTCTATACATGACAGATCTCAAATTAGATGAGATCATGCAAGAGCCTCGCCCTTGTCATCACCGCATATTTACCTTGCATGACATACGCAACGTGAAGCATACTGGAGCCGACATGTGGATAGCCATTGTCAAAAGATCCAAGGGTCCTTGCTTCTTGTCAACTATATCAACCATGTATGTTTTAAGTTATCATTGTCACCTTCATCACCTATTCACAGCACACTTACATCCTTACAGCTTCATGGCACGTTCTCAAACTCGTATCGGCTTTGCTACAGCGCCTTGTTGGGATCTACCATAGTAGATTAGTTGTTCCTGAATTGACAACAACGCGAATGACAACGGGATGCTTACCAGCCATTTGAGGGTGAGCAAGTGCTTTGTGACATCAGGTACAGTGGCAGAGTATAAACAATGGAATAAAGGCAATCGCGTACGTGTACATGTAAAGAAGGTAGAAGCTTAAAAGAAAGGGGGAAGGGGAACTACAAGCACGCGCGCACAAACATTGATATTTCAGATTTGCATGGCAACCTGGCGGGATGCCCCTTTTGGAAATGAACGCAGTAACGATCATCTCAAGGCAACGACGACCTTATTTATTTCCATAGTGATTCTTGATGTTTCTACGTTTGTTCTTAATAAACTCTTTAACACCATGCAATGAGTCATATCCTGTGGGGCCATTGATAGCTTGCATGAATCCGACATCATCATTTCGCTGCCGCTTGTTAAAATCACGCACCGTGTGGCCATCCATATCCACTTTTTTCATGAGACCCAGTAAATCCGCCAAGGGAGCTAAATCGGTAAAGTCAAAAGGGCTGACATGGCTTACACGTGGGCATGTCTTATCCCACGCCACATCTTCTTTCAACATGGCCACGGTATCGTCAATACGCTTTTCTGTTGCTGCACTGAACAAGAGCTTGTCATTGAATTCTCGAATCAATTCATCGAGTCGATTTGCGTATTCAGGTACGTCCACAAACTTCATCAAGGGTCGCTTCGTGGTCAAACCACCTGCAAATTGATGCCAATCGCCTGTTTCCAAATGTGACATTGCAGCCGTATAACTGGATCCAAGAATCAAATCGATATCCCATAGCATAAAAATGTACTTTGAGCTGCCAGGTGCCGTTTGATACACGTAGTAATTGTCCGCTGCTACAAGATAGCCATCACCAAAGCCGAGCGTAATCTCAAGGGCGATCCTATTCATGCCATTGTCAATCATTATTATCATCATGTTGATCTTTTCCCTCACCCAATACATACCCCCGAATGACACTCTCCATATCAAAATGTGCCTCCCATGCATCCTTGTTGGCTGGTGGGTTATCCAGGAATTTGGTCAACTCGATTAAACCTGTATAATCGGGTTGGCCTGTTGATGGATCTTCGGCAATCTTATACTGCCCCATGTCATAAGATGATGGATTGTCTCCGTAGTAACTAAGGTCTGAAATGCGATCAAGGAGCTGGTTTTTGGCATTACCAAATTTGCCCTGATACAAGACACCTTGCTGGTAATCCTTGTTGCCATCTGCAAATTCGTTACGTAGCCATGGATTCTTGTACTTTTCAATAAATCCAAACAATCCCAATGGCTGATCATTGATATAGACTCTATGATTACACGTATATAAGTTTCATGATTGTATATTACACGCCAAGATGATTTTTACCTTACAAAGCTAGAATCCGTAGTAGGAACACCCGCTGCATGAATCATTTTGAAACCAAGATCTTCTCGGATATAGGATGGATCCGTTCCCAAGGCACGCAACTTTAGACGGCGATACCCCGATAAATTGGATTTCTTGGGAAGCTTGATATTATAAGCAAGCTTGGCATTTTTTCGCGAATAGTGGCCCGAAAGTTCAAATTCAACATTGGAGAATGTCTTGATATCATGAAGCCTTTGGATACATGCATCATCAACAACAACCTTCTCCTTTTCTGCATCCTCCTCCTCCTCGTCTTGCATCCTCCTTTTTACCTGATGAAGGTCATGTTTGTCATGACCTGGATGTCATCTTGGTTATGCTCATGCATGTTTTGGATTTGTTTAGGATCACCCACAATATGGAGGGTAGGTATTTCACCATCACTATGAAGATCGCTCTTGATTCGATGAATGCTGGGTAAAGGTTCAAGCATGTTCGGTAGCTGTGTAATGTCCCATTTGTTCCATGATCGATTATAGTGCTCATTGGGGGTACTTTCGCCATCAAAGGGTTGTCGTTCAAAGGGTTCTTTTTCTACTACGCTGCCATCTGCTTTGATTTTGGCATAGTAATAGTGATGCTGAGCTGCTGGTGCTGAGCCGGCAAACAAAAGAGAGGATGAAGTCGTCGATTCAAGAGGGTATGGGTGGTCATCCACAATGACGGCCATGTTGGTGGCATCATCATTATTCTTTGGTAGTAACGAGATAACATTATACTTGACTTGCTCTTGTGCCAAAATGACAAGAGCAAAGAATTGAAGGAGTATGACTGTTGTGTGCATGATGTGAATACAAAAATATTTTTGATATCGACACTGCAAAAGTAATGTGCTTACCACAAGAAACAAGCATCTCGAATGGAGAAAAAGAAGTAAAAGGGTAACAGAAAAAGCTTCCTCTATCCTATGGACAAGTTATTATCCCCAGCATGATCAGCACTGTGCATGCATTCACCCCCTTTCTTCTTTTTCGACTTGCATCTTTTGCTGATGCCCTCATGTGTTTCGCCGCATACAGAATTTGCATCATTATAACATCACCGAGAAAACACCTTCTCTCGTAAACATCACGCGTGATCACAAGAGCAGGTGGCGTAATGTAGACATTACATAGCTACATGCATGCTTGAATACAAGATCACGCCAATCACGTGACCTTCAAATGTCGTATCAAAGTGATACTCAACATCTGTGTAGCAATATGGGTCGTACCCAATACCTTTTGTACTCCAACTCTATCATCTTATATATATACATGCAATATCCAAAACAATAAAGAACACGAGTCTTTCCAAAAGTATTCAGATACGTGCTATTGCTTTAGTGCTTTGTATAGCTACGTCCCTCTACACGACACTGGTAGCTGATCGATGAGCAACCTGTACTCACAACAACAACAACGTCAATTCGCTATCCAAGAGAAGATCCTAGCTGGCTTGAACCCTTCGCAACAGGCACTTTTTCGACAACACACGGAGATCATCTTTATTCCTGAAGAGCAACGCACAACATACGGACCAGCTAGTCAAACGAAGATCGAAGAACAAGCAACCAACTTACGTCGTCGTTTTCTTGTTGCTATTGGACAACTTCCTGCTGACGCTTCTTTATCACCATCACCATCATTTATTATGGATCATCGTGAACAAGCTCAAGACGGCCGTGGTGAGAATTCCACAGCTCCACAACAACCAGTGACCACTGAGGACACCGCTTTACATGTTATCATGCAATCACTTCAGGTCCTACTACAACAACACAACTCATCTTCTTCGGGTACCCGATCCACTGATGAACTGGATGGCATTCGATTGGTGCCACCGGAGGTATATCGTGGTGAACGTACCGCACAAGCAGTGGAAGGATGGCTTCATGCCTTTGACAATTATTGCCGCCTGAAGAATAGTACTATGAGTGAAGATGTCAAGGTGCGTTTTGCTTCCACTTTATTAAGAGGAGAAGCTTCTGAATGGTGGCGACAATTACAAAATGACCCTGATGTATATGAACCAACCACTTGGGATGACTTCTGTGTCACGTTTCGCGATGAATTCAAACCTAATAACTCTGAACAACTGGCTCGTGAGGCGTTGGATCGCATTTCGCAACAAACGGAAGGAAGCATTCGTGCGTATGTAGCTACCTTTCGTAAGCACATGCTCGAATTACCAAGTATGGATCCAGCCGATGCAATTTATCGTTTCGTGCAAGGGCTCGATGATGAAGCTCGCATGCAAGTGTTACTCCAGGATTTGGTTACACTACGTGATGCTTACAACGCAGCTGAACGATATGAGTCGGCAGCCAACATCGCTCGTGGAATGCGTGTGGATCGTCCTATTCAACATGGTACGATAAGAAGGCATGGTCAAGCACAAGTACAAGCAAATCAAGGTGATGATCCTATGGAACTCGATGCAATGTGGGATGCTAGACAAGCTAGCAGGAGAATACCTCGTGGTGGATCTTGGCGCCAACCAATGAACAATCGAGGACGAGGACAAGGAGGTTTCATCAATCAACGTGGTCGTGGTGGCTATAAAGGTCCGCGTTACAATCACAATGCCAACATCGTTTGCTGGCACTGTGGCACAACTGGTCATGTGGAACGCAATTGCCCTACCAGAAATCATGCCATTAATGCCTTTGTACAACGTTTGGATGCAACCGCCCGTGCCACACGCCATACTCCAACCCAAGTTCATGCAATGGATGTACCTAGCCCTGATACAATTGAGTTAGATGAGGCTCGTTTTGATGCAGCTACAAGATCCATAGAATCCCACACCCCTATTGAAGCCAATAGAGAATCATCTAATATCTCGTACACTGATGTTGTTACATTACCTTTTGATGGTGAAAACAAGGGTGGAGCGGTGATCCATGATACGGAATGGGAAAAGGATCGCTTCTTTCTGGAACAGCGATTGACTTGCGCATCAACAATTGACACGGGATTACCATTGCATCGTGGGTACTTGAAAGGTCACCCTATCTCTATTCTTATCGATAGCGGTGCTAGTGCCAATTATATGTCACCTCGTTTTGTAACATTGGCTGACAAGATTGTACCTATTGCCACGCGTAAAGTTGAAACAGCAAATGGTACTCACACTTCCATTTCGAAGCGAGCTCACATCACGTTGGATCTTGGTGGTTACATTGCTACGGACCTTCCGGTATACTTGTTTGATTCCAAATTCGATATCATCTTGGGGCAAACTTGGTTACAGGCAGTGTGTCCTCAACCTCATTGGCCAACGGAACGCTGGTTTATCTATCAAGGCGACAAGCAATATGTATTGGAACCAATTCG